TGTGCTTCTACAGAAGGATACTGAGAATTCCATTGAGGGAGCGAGTGAACATTAAGGAAATCTTAAAGAATATGGCAACAGAAAGAAAACTTACAATCAGAATCAGGAAAAGAAAGCTAAAATTTCTTTGAGACAAAGGAAGCTTTGGAAAACTTAAATCTAACGGGCATATTGAGGGTAAGAGAGATAATGGGTGGCAGTAAGACACTTAAATGACGGGCTTGTGTAAATGAACGAGAAGCAGGGGTTTTAGCAAAGTGAGAAAAAACAGCTAAGAGACACAAAGTATAAGAAGTCGAGGAGCGCCATGATCGCCTATAGCTTGAACGAACGCGGCACATAGAGGAAGAACAATCCTGTTTTGTTTCCTTATTGGAAATTATAAATAAGCAGGAGTCAACCTATTTTTTTTTTCAGTAATCGATTGATTGTTTATAGAGTTTACACTTTGTGTAAATAGACTTGTTCCTTTTCTTACATTTTACTACCAGGTGTAAAGGATTCGATTCAACGCTGTTTGTCGGCTCTTTTTAACAAATTTTCTAGACATTAATTCACTCACGTTAAAGATGATATTTGTTACAGTCTACTTATTTGTGGTTAATATCTTTGGACTTTACATGCACACTCACACATATGCACACACATACACGCATATATATATATATATATATATATATATATATATATATACATACACTAATACATGTTTCACTGAATAATTTAGACAAGTTTTTCTATTTATTTTCGATTGAATCCTTTCATATTCACGGACGTGCTTTTTTGGTGTCATTATTAAAGAAATAGAGAAAATTACCGTGAGGATACATATTATCTACTTATTCCGAGTACTTTCGACAGCATATATATATATATATATATATATATATATATATATATATATATATATGTGTGTGTGTGTGTGTGTGTGTGTGTGTGTGTGTGTGTGTGTGTGTGTGTGTTGCTCTAAACTTTATTTTTGTGGTTTACATGTTTGAGTAGACGTTCTCGTTTCTTTTAAGAGTGTGAATTACGTCTACCGGACTGTGCCTTCGAAAAAAAAAATAAAAAAAAAAATAAAAAAAAATGAAAATATTTTAGGAACCGGGAATCCAAATCTAAACAGGAAACAAGGAATAAACCTCTACTTCTGTCAAAAGATGGGGAAGTCTATCAACCAGGAGCTAAGCGTACCTATCTATGCCTATTGACGAACTTGTCTACTCCTATTAATTTCGACGCGGAAAGTGGAGTCCACAAGCTGGCTTAGGCTGTTGCGTTTATTCAGCACTAATACCCTAGTAAAATGTAGGAATCAATCATTTCCCAGTCCTAGCAATATAGACTCGGCTCCTTAACCTTGGGTGTTAGCCAAGTTAAAAGAAGGACTACTCTGAATTCAAAACAGTAAAGGCAGTGGGAAACCTCTTTACGATCTTTCCCAAGAAATTATAGAAATTCACAAACAATAAAGAAATTTGTGGAGGGTCATAATCAAGCACGTCCTAAAGGGACATGGTATTTAAAAAGATGTGAGCAAATTAGAAATCATTTGAATTGAAATTTGAACTGCTCTGCATTTCTATTCTGAAAATATGGCGACCCTATTTTAATCATTCTAATCATTGGTTTTTGAATCAAATATAAAGTTTCAGTTATTTTTTCTGCAATTGCCTACACTGGAGCAATAGGCAAACGTGTAAATAGTATTCTTAAGTCAGACTTCCAGTAAGGGAGGCACACTTGTGACTGGAAGTTGACATATAATTTTCACCAGATGTAAAAGTATTTTTTACGTGAAAGCATGTCAGTTCAGATATACATTTGAAAAGACCAAATAAATTACTGCTCACTCTTTCCCCAGATAAGAATCGTAAGGTGATATTCCCCCCCACCCCGGAACAGTTTAAATGCAATATGCGAGTAAAAAGACAAAATTTCAGGTAACTGAAATACAAAACTGTAAAGGCAATAGGAAATCACTCTGCTATCTTTCCCAAGAAACCATGGCAATTCAAAGACGACAATGAAAAGGAAGATGTGGAGGGCCATGATTAACCGCGTCATAATGGGATGTGGCATTAAAAATGTTCGTCAATTTGAATTTACAGAACATTAAATTATATATAAGTATTATATGTTTTTACTCTGACCAGTATGCTCATATTGGTTTTTATCTTCATAAAGTTTCGGCCGTTGTACGCTCAGTACATCGTCAGGTGTCTCTCATACTCTGTATCCATCTTACACAGTTTGTTCGATTACAGCCTTGGTTAAAACATATAATGTTCCTTGACAGTTTTGAGACAAACTATTAATTTTATATACCATGGCTCATTTTGATTCTTATACTCATAACGTTCCGACCATAGTTCCTCTAGCCTTCTTCAGATGTCTGTCGTACTCGGTAACCTTCTCGGAATTTTGAAATCAATTTCTTTTTTTAATTTTGGAACGAATTTTCATTCCGCTTTCAATGATTAGGGGAGATAACTCGTATCATTTGATGCTCTATTCGTCTCTACCAATGAATCTGAGTATATAATTTTTCAACACTACGTGAGTCAAGGATTGAGCTTATGAGAACGATCTACCACTCGTCTACTGAATAAAGAGACCGGCTCGAAATTTACCCTGTACGACAGATGTAATAAATACGAAAACTTTGTGAGTATAAGTTGGTTATTTTAACGATATATCAACCAAGGTTGGGTTAATGTAGAATATGAATTTAAAAGGACAAAAAACAGAATGAATTAATAGATAGATAGACATAGTTTCCACTATAGCCAAAAATAAACATAAGTCAGGTTTACCGGGATTTAACGGGAAGGTAGTCCTTGTTAGGAGTGAAGGTCTTACCCGTGAGCAGAGGATGCGGTTGACTTATTCTAAGTCGATAATTTGTAATCATAACAACCAAGATGAGCATGATAACTTGAATGTGAAGACATATAAAAGTGATAATTTGTTAGTTACAAATACCAATATTAATTCGTCTTCTATGTGCAATGTACCATCAGGACGTGGGGGATCGTGGCTCTCCACAATTTCCTGTACTTTGTAGCTCTTAATAATTTTATTAAGTTATCTCTCCTAAACTTTGCTCCGCCATCCATTGACTCAAACTCGTTAGGTAGTTTATGCGTTGATTTCCCCTGTCCCTTTAACCTTCAATTTGTCCTGTGCGTATCAAATTTTCTGAGCCCTCTTTCCTCATTATGTACCCGAGAAATTTCAACTGTCTCTTCCTGATGTTATGTATAAGCGTCCTTTTTGTTTCTATTTTCTCTAAAACTACGTCGTTGCTCATATATTCGGTCCATGGTATTCTCAGTATCCTTCTGTAGAACCAGAATTCTGTGATCTTAATACGTTTTCGGGTTTCAATGTCGCACTTTCTGTCGTCTGTTAAAACACTTCCCAGATATTTAAATTGTTGTATTTGCTTGATTTTGGTATTTCCAATTTGTAGTTTGCATGTTGTGTTGTTCCTGTTACTAACGACCAAGCATTCCGTGTTCTTGCAATTGATGTTTAGTCTTTTTCTCTTCAGGTTTTTCCTTCGCTACCTTCTGTAGGAGTTCATGTAGTTTTCTTTCCGTGTCTGCTATTAACACTGTGTCATCTGCATAGATTATGTTGTTAAGGTTGTGACCGCAAATAATGAATCCTGTTAGGATTTCTAGTTCTCTCAGAATCGCCTCATTGTATAGGTTGAATAAGTCTGGTGAGAAGATACATCCTTGTCTTACATTCATTTCTTATATTTACGGAATTCGTTTTTTATACGTATATAGGCGGTATAAGTTCTGGATTTTTCTTATATCCTTTTCAAATACGGCAGGATTACCTAGCAGTACTAAAAGTTCTTTGTAACCTACTTTGTCAAATCATTATGCATAATCTATGAAACATAGGTATAACTTGTTCAAGTGTCTTTAACGGAGCTGCACTGTTCTTGTCCGGTTTGTCAGTAAAAAAAAGTAAGAAAGAAATAAACAAAGTGAATGTAAGAAAGAAAGAAAGAAAGAAAGAAAGAAAGAAAGAAAGAAAGAAAGAAACAAACAAACAAACAAACAAACAAAGAAAAATAAAATGAAAGTAAGAAGAAAATAAAGGAACTGAGTGTAAAGAAAGGAAAGACAGAAACAAAAAATAGGAAAAGAAAGAAAGAAGGAAATAAATAAAGTAAATAAAGAAAAAGAAATAAAGAAACTAAGAACGAAAATAAAATAAAAAGAAAGAAATAATGTAACGAAAAGAAAGTAATAAGGAAGGAAAAAATAAAGAAAACAAAAAAACATAAAGCAAGTAAAAGTATGAAAAAAGTAACAAAAAAATAAAGGATTTGAAGTAAGAAAAATGTAAGCAAAATGAAAGTGAAAGTAAGAAAAAGAAAGGAAGAAAGAACGAACCTGACTAAAGAAAAATTACGCAAGAAAGATATGAGAGAATCAATAGAAGAAATAAATATAGAAAGTGAGTCAGAAAAGGTAAGAATGAAATAAAAAGAGAGAGAGAGAGAGAGGGAGAGAGAAAGAGAGAGTAAGATAAAGAAAATAAAAGAGAAACAAAGTGAAAGTAAAAAAAAATAACAAATATTGTAAAATAAGAAAAAATTAAAAATAAAAGAAGTTAGGAAAAGAAAACAATAAAGAAATATAGGAAGTTAAAATAAGGAAAAATGAAAAAGAAATAATTGTTGAATCGAAAGAAGAAGCTTAAATAACAGGTGGTGATAGATTTGTATTTTTTTAATCAATCTTGATCTTTTTGCACGTTATTTAAAGCCAGAACATGTGTTAGGAATGTAAAAATCTTTTGGTATGAATAAGGATATTGATACAAGTTCTAATATTTAACCCGTAGCTAGGTAGAAGAAATCGCTTCTTTCCCATGAGTATTTTCGCGTAAAGAAATATAACGACCCCGGCTGGAATTTGAACTCTGATTTCTCAGTCCGAGTCATTATCCATTACACCACCTGCACATCCAAACTTACAGCACCTGGTATTTCCAAAGCAGTCACCCATCTAGGTACTGATCAGTCTCGACGTTGCTTAAATTCGGTGATCGGGTGAGAACCGGTGTTTTAGCGGGATATGGCCGTAAGACTTGTCTATAAATAGAAAAAAAAACTGAGGAAAACAGAAAGAAAGTGAATGAAAGGGCTAAAGAAACTGGGTGGTGGTAGCTTAATGATTAGCGGCACGAAAATTGCAGTGTCCAGTCCAGTTTAAACCCCCGCCTTGTCTATTGCATTCACTTTCTCACTAGTACCCTTGGGAATTCTATGCTAACAGTTTCTTTTGTCGCAATTCTCTCTTGTGGAACTCCCTTCCTTCTCCATGCTTTCCAGCTAATCTTCAAAAATTTAAATCCAGTATCATTCTCTTATCGCCAGTTCTTACTCTTTTTGTTTTCGGTCATTAGTAATGTTTATTTTTCTAATTCTTCTACACCCAGTACCTCCTTGTGTCTTACTGGCTTAACTGCCTTGCATGGGGTGAACTCGATAAAAATGCTATATCCATTGTTTGTCCTATTAGGGATTAAACAGATTTAGATATTTTGCCTTAGATGTAGAAAAACAAATTTGAATTTAAAATCGTAGAGAAAGGAACAGAAAAACACACCACTATTTTTCCCAAGTCATAGAAATTCACTGATAATAAAAAGGAATCTGAGGAGAGCCATGATCGCCTACGTGATGCATGGATCCGTTTCTTCTCTTCCCAGTGTAGATATGGAATAAATAGAAACGTAGACTGGGTTCGTTAGTTTTGGGTGCTTACTCTGAATTCAAAACTGTAAAAAGGACAACGGGAAACAACTCCACTATTTTCCCCAAGAAATCACAGCAATTCACAGATATTAAAAGAAACTAAGTGAAAGCTAGAAAAAGAAATTAAGAAAGAAAGGTTTTGAAGAAAAACGGAAGGAAGAAAGTAGAATAAGAAAAAGAAAGTGAAATAAGGAAGGAAGGAAGGAAGGAAGGAAGAAAGTGAAATAAGAAAAAGAAAGCGAAATAAGAAAGCGAAATAAGAAAGAAAGAAAGAAAAAAAGAAAGAAAGAAAGAAAGAAAGATTAAAGTATGAAAAAATAACAAAGAAAGAAAGGATGTAATGTAAGAAAAAAGAAGGAAAGGAAGAAATGAAGGATGTTATTCACTGATACTAAAAAAGGAAACTATGAAGACCCATGATCGCTAACGCCCAGAAGTGATATGATATTTAAAATATAAAAGTAAGAGAAAATATGTTCAAAGGATACACAGAGGTAATGCGAGAAGAGAGAGAGAGAGAGAGAGAGAGAGAGAGAGAGAGAATGGGGATGAGAGGTAGGGGGAAAAGGATAGATTGACCAATGGAAAAGAGCGGGCTTGAAGGAAAGAAGAAAACAGGGTAAAAGATTTAGTATGGTTAAGAGAGAGAGAGGGGGGGCGAAACAGAGAGAGAGAGAGAGAGAGAGAGAGACTTTTTAAGCCAAGATTATCAAAAGGTTATGGTCGCTTGTGGTGACGATATGACTCATTATAAATGATTCGCTGGATCTGCTTGTTAACCAATTATCCACATGCTATTTTGTACAGAAATATTGACGACGGAGAGCCGATAGATAGGGAAAAAAACGCTATATAAAGACAAAAAATAGAAACACGAAAGAGAAAAGGTCACCTTGATGTATAGCAGCCGTAAGCAAGCATGTTTTACAGACCATTACTGAATTCAATCATCATTGGGGACCTGATATTTATACTGTAATTATCTGTGTGTAATAGGTAGTTTTTATTCACTATAAGTTAGGGGTGCGTATTATACACAAGAACTAAATATTACTTTTTTCCACTCAAGACGGTATGACCTGAAGTGAATTGTATCTCTGGTTCAAACTAAAGTGTAATAGTTTAGATTAGTAACTAAACTATGCATTTGAATATCCACATAATTATTCTTCTTCTTCTCCTTCTTCTATATGCTGTCATTTCAGGATGTGAGCGATCACCACCCTCCACAACTTCCCGTCCTTTGTAGCCTTTAGTACGGTTTGTTTTTTCATTATCACTCCAAGTCATCGTTCTACCATCCATTTACACAAGCTGGTTAGGTAGGTTATTCATTGCGTCACTCTGTCCTGTTCTAGAAATTTCAATTGTATAAGCGTCAATATTATTTCCATTTTCCTTAAAACTTTCTCGTTGCTTACATGTTCCGTCTATGGTATTCTCAGTAACATACTGTAGAAGCACATTTCTGTTGACTCAAGTCTCGTCTTCATCTGTTAGGAAATTTCCCAGCATTCATTGCCATATAAGAGACCGATATTTCATAACAGTTCAGTGCTCTTCGTTTTTAACGAATTTTTTTCTGTTTCTTAATACTCTGCTTAGATTTTGGAAGGCATCTTTCGCTATTCCAATACGCTTTCGGGGTTAGGTGTCATATTTTCCGTCCTCTGGTAAAATGCATCCCAGAGTGCCGTTGCCAATATTTGGGCGGGAGCTGCCCAGGTCGCACTTTCTTGATAGAGTTCAAAAATGTCTCCAAGTCCTTGTTAGAGAAGAATTATTTTCCACCCTTCCACCTCTCTCTCATAAGCGGGATGTGGTGAGTCTCACTGCTCTATCGCTACTGTCATGAAAAATGCTCGGACGAATTGCAGTTCTTGGTGCCACAAGTTCTGACCTTCAAGGTTAGGACCCGCCGTGCCACTTACATTGTAGCAAACAAACCACATTCCTTCCGTATTCCATCGGCGGAAGTAAGTTCCACTCAAACAGCTTCTTGCCGCGAACCCCTGCCCTATGGAACCGGCTCCCAAGAGGATGTTTCCCCGATCATTACAATATCAACCTGTTCAAGTCTAGAGTTAACCGTTATATTTCCCTACTATAAACTTAACGCAACCCTCTACCACGAGTGGCCCCCGGGCCTTGTACAGGATGAACCTTACTGTGAAAAAAGAAGATATTTTTAGTGTTTTTCTGCTGTCCTTGTCAAAAATAGACGCCATCTCAGTTGTCAGCACAATAGATATTTTCGTCCTTTTCGATGTTGTTGTCGTGCACAGAGTCATAAAGTCTTTTTTTAGTCGATACGAAACAAATACAAAGTTAACATATGCTAAATACAGGTTAAATTTAGCTGCTACAAATTAAAAAAGTCAGTGTGTATTTAATACTGTGAAATGTTTTTCCAGAATTTTATAGGTCATAGTTTTTCTATTTTTGTCTGCCGAGTCCCTTCATGACGTGGGCGATCATGGATCCCCACAATTTCCTATCCGTTGTAGCCCTTAGTAAAGTTTGTCTCCTAAACCCTGCCATACTATCCATTTACACAAGGTTGTTAAGAAGCTTATGTACTGCTTTTCTCTGTCCCTCTTAATTTTAATCCCGTGAGAGTCAAATATTGCAAGCTTTCTTTCTTTATCATGTACCCTAGAAATTTCAAATATCTCTTTGTTATGACGTAATATCTGTCCTCCTGTATGGCAGCGAAAACTGGACAACCTCCCCAAAGATGATGAAGAGACTTGAAGCAACAGAAATGTGGTTCTACAGAAGGATGCTGAGGATGCCATAGGCCCGAACAAATGAGCAACGATGAGGTTTTGGATAGAATGTAAACACAAATAAAACTCATACTTAACATCAGGAAGAGGCAGTTGAGGTTTCTGGGGCACGTAATGAAGAGTGAGGGCTTGGAAAATTTGATACTCACAAGACAGATAGGGTGGAAGAGGAACAGAGGTAAGCAGAGTTTGGGAGAAATAACAAAAAGACAAAACTTATTAAGATCTACAAGGGCCATCATTGCTTACGACCTGAAGGGACACGGCACATAAAAGAAGATTGGGGACAAATAATTACGATATATATATATATATATATATATATATATATATATATATATATATATATATATATATATATATATCAAAACGCCATTTTTCATTTATGCAAGTTTGTTTGAAGACTTTTTTTTATTTAATTTTACTATTGTTCGGACCATTTTTCTAGTTTTCGGGGAGAATTTGAACATTAATTCTGTCTTCTGGGCACCTTCGACTTTTATAGTAATTAGTGAAGAATGATATGTGTTGACAGGTTTGTTTTTATATATGCACTAGTGTCCCGTTTTCGCGTGCCAGCGGGGTGTTATGTCAAGCTTTTTTCTTCACGTATCCCGTCTTTACGCATCTTTTTGTGGGGCCGTGTTTTATTTTTATTTTTTAGAAACATTAATTCAAAAAAATAAATTAAACAATGAATTTTCGCTGCTTCTCAAACAATCGTGCACGCACACACGTGCGCACACATACACACACACATACACATACCCCCCCACACATTATATATATATATATATATATATATATATACTGAGACAGAAAGTCATGCAAAATAGTGTTTACGCTGTTGTTCTATTCAATTAATATGGAATGTCTTACAAGGTACACCGTTTTGCTCTATTTCCCGTTTGCTATGGTCAGCTAGGCGCTAGGGTCATTAGGTGTATATGCTATTAAAACGAGGCTGGCCGACCCAAATCTCGTCGGCTCGACTCGGTCCGGATCCGGCTGCACTCGCTGACAGCACGGGGGTGTCGGGGAGAGGGAAGAAAAGATTAGAAAGGAGAAATGAAAAAAAAAAGAAAAAAAAAGGGGGATAAGGAGAGCGACAGTTAGGAAGACTGGGGAAAATAGGAAAAGTTGGCTGAAGGGGAGGAAAGTATGACGTGGAGGGAGGGAGGGGAGTATGCATTTCCTGGAAGGATTCTGAGCGGAAAAGAACGAAAGACAAAGTGAAGAAATTATAAGAGGCGGGGAAGAAAAGAAATAGATGAGAAAAAGAAAGAGGTTATCAGCTATGTTAAAATATAGGAAAAAGCATGGAAACAGCTAATAAAAATTTATGTAAAGAGCAGAAACAAAAGAAAAAAGACAAATGAAGACAAAAAGGAAATGAAAAAGGAGGGAACGATAAGGAAAATTATAAAAGATGAAAGAAAATAAGCGAAAGGTAAAGAAAGGACGAAAGAAAAACAGATAAAAGATAACTAGCAAAAAAAAGAAAGAAAGAAAGAAAGAAAGAAAGAAAGAAAGAAGGGACGAAGGAAAAAGAAAGAAGGAAACAGATAAACGATAACTAGAAAAACACAAAAAAGAAAGAAAGAAAGAGATAAAAGATAACTAACAAAACACAAAGAAAGAAAGAAAGAAAGAAAAAGAGAGAAGGAAAAAGAAAGAAAAATAAAGGAGGAAGGAAAAAGAAAGAAAGAAGCAATAAAGGAGTAAACGAGCAGTAGAAAGAAAGCATAAAAACAACGAGTAATAAAATAATAGGAAGAAGAAAAGGGAAACAAATAGAAGGACAAGAAATAATAGAAAAATAAAAACGAAAATAAGAAAAAGAAAAAAGGAAATAAAGGAAGAATCTGAAAAAAAAGAACAGGAAGAAAACAAGAATGATAGAAAAAAAAAGAATCGAAAAATAAAAATTCCAGAAAAGGCAAAATCAGAAGAACCACAGTAAAGAAAACCAGAAAGAAAGAGAAAAAAAAAGATTAAGAAAGAAAGAAGCAATGAACATGCGCGAAATGAGAGCAAAAGAATGAACGGATAATAAAAATAAGAAGAAAATTTAGAAAAAAATGAATGAGAAAGAGTACAAAGTGGAAAACAAATTAAAAATATTAAGCTCTAATATTAAAAAAAGAAGAAAAGAAAGATATACGAAAAAATAAAGATAGCAAGAGACGAATAGAAAATAAAGAAAGTGAAGTAAAGCAAATGAGTGGAGGAAATGAAGAGAGAGAAAAGGAAAATAAAATACAAGACAGTGATAGCAAGAGAAACAAAAAATATATTTAGAGAGACGAATAAAAAATAAGATTGTGTTTTGGGCATTTAAAGCAGTGGATAGTAAGGTACACAAAGGGAGAGAAAGACTGTGTTATGTTTACTTTTGCCTTCCTTCAAAATCAACACTACCTGGGATCGAACATTGATCCTTACTGCTGGTAGGAAATATATAATTATTCAAGCCATTAAACAAATCCTTTTTTATTTATTTTCTGGATAAAGGCAATCAAAAAGCGAATCAATCCATTGATATAAATTACTATTTCCATTCGAACTAATGTCCTCATCTTTCTTATTATCCTCCTTAGGTTTAATCTGCTGATCACTCTGGTCTTCAAATGTGGTTCGATCCGAGTAATCTTCATACAAATGTTCCAATATAAGGCCCAAGAGCCAATGAATGTAGGGGGTTACTGTATGTTTTTTTTTTTTTTTTGTATGGGCGTAAAAATAAGCTGGAAGTGAAGTTCATGGACTTGTCCGGGAAAGATAACGGTTAACCCTAGACGAAGAGATCAAGATTTTCGTGATTGGGAAAACATCCTGAGACTGCTGCTACTATTTACCAGGAAATTAAGTACTAACCTAAGCTAAATAAAAGATATTTTTCCTACTAATGTTCTACTAATTCAAGTAAATTAGTTAACTTGCTTTTTGGATCTGATGAAGCCTATGAAGCCTAACACACACACACACACACACACACACACACACACACACACACACACACACACACATATATATATATATATATATATATATATATATATAGATAGATAGATAGATAGATAGATATAAATTTCATTGTCCATACTCTATTATTATCATTACACATCCACACTTTATTTCTACATCCAGGACTTTATTTCTATCTATAAAAGGACATGCACATGCTCCAAGTTAGCGGGAAGGCCAAGACTGACTTTGCATTTCCCAACTCCCATCGATAGTGGAAATAATCGATTTTTTCATGCTTCTACAGCAGTTTTCATGTAGTTTGCTGCCATTTTCTACAGCTATAGCTGGCTGCCACGAACAGACAGGAAGATTCTATTGGCTAGCATGAGAGCCAACAGCTGACTGACACGAATGTTAACTAGAATGCAAAAAAAATCTTTTCTTAAGTTATAAAGAATTTTTTCTGCACTACAACAAAACTACGCTCTTAATTTCTGATATGATGGAATATGTGTACACCTGTGTTCCCCCTCACTGGAATATGATTGACTGGTGTCCGCAATAAATACCGACGGACATGTACGTACGACAGAGTCTTAGTCTGAGATCTAAGTCTATAACGACGCCCATTGGACTACGCCATTGATCTACACTTCTTAACCTGCGACTACGACGCGTACCAATCGATTACTGCTACTGTATTCTACTTGGTTATAGTAGCCAAAACCACTTAGTTACTTCGTTCAAATATATCCCTTTCCGGGAGATATCAATTTCTAAGGGAACCGTTTTTACCTTCCATTAGCATGGCTGATGCTAACCTTCAGTAGTGTGACCCATTACGCCTTCTTGCTAAATGTACTTCTAGGAAAGTTCATTCACTGTGTTGTGTTAGACAATTTGTCTCTTCAGGGTCTATTTTACATATTCATAAGTCTATCATTCGCCCTTGCTTTGAATATTGCTGCCATATCTGATCTAGTGCTCCTGCTATAGATTAATAAATTCTTGATAAAATCCAAAGAAGACTCTACAATGTTATTGATTCTGACCTGGCATCTCGGTTTCATTCACTTTTCCAACACCGTAACGTAGCTTCCCTGTACGTTTTCTATAAGTACTTTCATGGTAATTGTTCTGGTAATCTTTCTTTTTCTAACTTGTTGCTAGAATTTATGGATTTAAGCGCAGTACTTGATTGGTGGTTAGGTTTAATCATTCTACAGTTAAAATGACTAGATGTAACCGTAAGTTCTATGCTAACAGTTTCTTCATTCACTCTTCTCGCTTGTGGAAATATCTTCTGACTTTTTGCTTCTCAGTCAATTTTGATCTTCAGAAATTTAAATGCAATGTCTATCGTTATCATCTGTCTTTTTAATTCTTGTTCTTTTATTGTTCAACCCTTTTAAATAGTATTTTTCATATTCTCTAACACTCGGTAACCCCTTGCGCCTTAGTGGTTTTATTGCCGTGCTTGGGGTGAAATGAAAGAAAAAAGAAAAAAGCGATCTTTATTATTACAGAAAGTACGAAACGTCAAAGTAGGAAGTCAGTAATTAGTTTTACTGCCTTTGGCTTGAATAATTGTCTCAATTCGACGAGGTATTGAATGGAACAATCTCCAGCTCTTGGAGATTGTGTGGTTTTCGTTGGAGCACGTGTTTCTTCACTTCCCATCACAATTGTTCAATTATATTGAGATCAGGACTTTGTGCTGGCCAATCTTCCAAAAGTGGGACATAGTCATTCACAAGAAACTTTTTTGTTGCATGTGGAAAGAAGCATCGTCATGCTGAAAACTTCTCCATCTTGGCAGTCTGGCAGAAGAGTAGACTGTAGTAAACTAATATAGTTTTCGCTGTTTTCCATTAACTTTTTTAACAATTTTCTTCTACCACTGCATTTGATTCAACACCACACCATTACGTGGCCATCACCAAATTCTGCTGTCTGTGCTGTATCTTTCATTTGTATTTTTCTTCTACTGGTCTTCTTACATATTCTCGTGCATTAGAATATAATTTCATCATTAAAAATATTTTACTACATTCCAACATCTTATGTTAAATATTCTTTTGTGTACTTCTATTCTAATGCTGTTGTTTTTTTTTTTTATATTAATGATGTTTTTTATGCCCTACGCTCGTTCAAGTTGTTTTTTCGTAATACTCTGCGTACTGTATCAACTAAAACCTCACCGTTAATATTGCATTCACACCTTGTCCGGTTGTTAATTTTGGATTGTCCACCGACGATATTCTCACAATCTTTCTTTCGTCTCTCTTATTTAATTTTTGCAGCCTTCCAGGTTTCTTTATACTTAAAACACTTCCAATAGTCGCAAACATTTTTTGTATGTTTTGAATACTTTCTGGAAATTTCGTTGAGTCATCTTCTCCTTCAAAATTACAACCTTAATCTTTGTTTCAGTAAAAATTTTAGCCATTCTTTTATTATAAAAATCAAGCTAATACTTAACTAAAATGACTCGTCAAGGCACCTTACACTTGTGTTAATAAGAAGGAACAATATCTACTTAGAAATTTATATATTATCATCTTTCTCATCTCAGATCTTTCATTGGCCTAATTTTCTTTGACATTTTATCAGCTTCAAGCTGCTGAAAGGCGTGTATCTTCTGCACGATATATCTTCTTATACGGCACCCACGAAAACGCAACAACCTCAATCTTCCAGGGCCACAGAAACTATTGATAAAAGCGTACTACTAAATAATCTTACCTTTTTAATAAAATAAAGGTATATAATTATTTTATGTAATTTTTCAAAAACTTTGCACACCAGTTTGCATCAGAAGCAAGAGTCTACCAAATAAAATGTGAACGAACCCCTCCCGCAACCAAAACAACCATCACAATAAATAAGTGAAACATCCCGATATTTTGAGAAAAGAATAGGTAAGCATAAAAGGGATGAAAATTAATGTAAAGCCAATATAATTTACTCAGATGAAGTTGCATTGAAACTGCCATCTTCTCCAATTAATATATTTCAGCGTATCTCTTCTTAAATTAAGACTGAAACACAGTAGAATCTCTTAAATAAATAAATAGATCTGAAAACTGAATTGTGATTTATTAGAATATAATTTCTATAAGTTAAGGTACGTAGTCGACGCAGCTTACTCCTGAAGGGTCGTGAGCAGGAGACACAGAGGTGTGTGGTGGTGAATACGGCTGGGTGAGTCAGCCCTCCTGACAGCACGCCGCAGATCCTCTTCATGTTGATTCGAATGTCTCTGTGCCCACTTTGGCCTGTGTCAGGGATGTTTTCAACTGATCCTTGAAGTGTTGTTTGTGGCCCCCGCGTAGCCTCTTGCCGCTGGCGAGTTCTCCAAACGGGATGATACGTGGAAGTTGAGAGAGACTCATTTCTGTACACGTGACCCGCCCAGCCGAGACGATGTTGAAGTATTGTTGCCTCGATGCTGGTGAGAGATGTCCGAGAGAGTACCTCGTTGTTGGCGATGTGGTCCTCCCAACTGATGCGAAAGATTCTTCAGACTGTTAAAGTAAAAAAAAAAAAACAAAAAAAAAACAAACAAACAAACGTTCAGCCACTTAACGTGAATGATGAGGTTTTGTCTTGCTAATAAAAATTTTCTGTGTGAAATAAAATACGTTTTTCTGATGACATTGGATTCGTCGGTGAAATATGTCAAAGTAGAAAATTTACTAATTTTTATACACATATACAGTGCTGTTCGATAAAAGTGACTCACCTGATTCTTTTTTTACTTAAAAATTTGTTCGCCTATTGTTTTGGGGGTCAAACTAATTTTTAATCTTACTAATATAAAGACCCCTTCCCGATCACCTAGTAAAAAAGTTTACTCGCCTTAAGGTATTCTATTGATAATTATAATTTTGGATATAAATGAGATTTAGGGAAAAACTGTGTAAAAAAAAGTGACTCACTCATTTCCTGCAACTAGTAATCAATAGAGATATAACCGAACAGCTTTAAATAAAGAATAATAGAGGTATAATTTATTTATAATAGGTAATATAGTTCAAAATATTTAATAATCTATGGGTCCTCCTTTTTGAATAACCTTTTCAACCCTTTTTGGCATTGACTTGATTAGGTTCTGGTAAATCTCATCTCCAAGCATTGAATTCCATTCGGATATGAAATTCACAATACAATCCTCTTTGTTGCTCATCTGCTTTCTCGAGAGCCTGTACTTTATAATGCCCCATAAGTTTTCTATGGGGTTGAGGTCAGGAGCGGGTCGGCCATGTCATAACACTCACCTGCTTCTCATCAAAGTATTCCTTTATCAATTTTGATTTGTGACAGGGAACATTATCCTGCATAAAAATGAGCTTGGTGGGGTCGATTTGCACCCTTTCAGCAGAAGGGAGCAGCCAAGACTCTAAAATTCTCTTGTACTGCTCACTCCTGAGGGTCTTTTCAATAGGTATTAAGAAACCAGTTCCATGAAAAGAAAAGCATCCCCAAAACATTATACTGAACGGATTCTTGACAGTACTTACTGCTAAATTCAAAGAGCTTTCAAAGTTTCTTCTTCGGATTTTCGATCGCTTATCCTTTGAATTTAGCTCAACTTTCATTTCATCGGAGAAGAGAACATTTAGTAAAAAAAAAAAATCAGGTGAGTCACTTTTATCGAACAGCACTGTATATATATTGAAAAAAAAGTGGGAAGAAGGAAAAATAAGTTTTTTTTTTTCCTTCGGCGGATGATTAACATGAATGAAAATGGGGATAAGCGTAAGCAGAATATGATGTTTGAGCGCGTTTCTCTGTGTGTGCGCGTGTATGTATGCGTCTCAGTGAGGGAAATCAAATTGGTATTTACCACTTCAAGCCAAGCAGGCCGCCATATTCCTGATCAGTTAGAAATTGCGACAGCGTTTGCTTCCTTTTCAGGGAGAGAGCACATAACCTGTCATGATCAGCAGTTTGAACAACGCTACATTTATGAAGGAAGAATGCTCAATAGCATGGATCGAGTGATTCGAGATATAAACAGTGTGGACATAGAAATCAACACCGTATGGTGATTGTTAGCCTTTTACTGTTTCTATCTATTTATCTATCTATTATTTTAACTCTGATATCCTGGTCTTTTCTCCATTTTCCTATCTTCGTTCTTCGCTCTTTACATCCCTTCTTTCTTTCCTTTCTTCTTTCTCTGAACCATGGCTGTTAGAATATCTCTCTAGTGAGAACACAAAAAGAGGCGATAAAAGGATGATCCAAAATATACAAAATGGAACATTGCCAAGTCGATCTTGAATAAGGCTGGCATCTGGTAGTTATACCAAAATAGGGAGAAAAAGATAGCAAATGAGAAAATGGCAATATCTTATATTGTGATTGATATAATTTAAACCATATTGTCTTTCTTTCTCTCTTTATTGTTCTTTTCAGTTATTCTATATGCAGGATTACACAGTTACCTCCCTTCTCTTTTTCATCTATCGCCTCATCTTCTTCCTTTATGGCTTGTATTTGTAGAATATTTTTGCTATTTTTATTTGATACATTTGCAGGGTTTTTGTTTCAGTATGTTTTCCTTTTTACTATCAGTTAATTAAAAGAATTAAAATCAAACAAAAAGTAAAAGTATATAAAAACGAAAACAAAATAAACAAAACATTGAATATAAGAAATAAAATAAAAATCTTTCTTCATATTTTGTCTGCCTTTTCTCGGTTTTAATTTTAAATACTCAACTGAAACATGTATTTTTAACGGATATTTGAATTTAAAACGGAAAAATAATATGCTATTTTTATCCGTCTTGACCCAAACTTATTTGCAACATTTCTAGTGTTTATTTATTTTCTGATTTAATATTGTTATACTCCATTGAAATTAGATCTCGTTCTGATTTATTCTGCATACTGGACGGATGTGAACGCCACGGAGGTAGAGAACAAAATAAAAAATCGTTCTCTGTGCATAGGCTCCGTGCATCATGTCCGGTTACCGAAGCAAACCCCACAATGAAAGTGATACTGTCCAATCATGAACGTTCCCGCCGAAAAAGGAAATGCCCCTGGGGACTGTCAACTGTCACCTCACAACATAACCTCTCAATGACCGTTACCACTCCCAGTCATAACTAACCACCTCGGCTATGCAGCTTCAACATGATATCATTTCAACTTAATCACCATCCAGCTACAAGCCTTCATTGTTGCCGACGCTGTCACCTCGGCAAAGCCGACACATTACAGCGGCCGACTATCCATCTTCGACAACACCCAACTACAAGGCTTCATTATTGCCGGGGCTGTCACCTCGTGAAATATCAACTGATGAAATTAACCCGCCATCGTGACCTCGATCAATCAACACGTGCAAGGCATTCACTGCAGCCCCTTCCAGAGAACAGTCCTAGCAACCACGTCAATCCGACACCACCTCGTCATTTCGGCAACCCACCGTCGTAACCTCGGCATACCCGACTCGCTACAACGTATTCCCTTTGCAGTCGTCTCCGCGACCGAAAGCTAAGTAAAAAAAAAAAAAAAAAATTAGAGCGCTGAAAGTTTTCCTTAAAAATAACGAGGTAAATAATTTATTTACTTAAATGTAAATTATTTCACTTTTCTCCTTCTTGTAGAACAAATTATCCTCACGGAATCCGTCAATATGTCATTCATCACCTGTCAAGTGACGCGAACGTTTATGACCTGCTTTGTTTTATTTTCAAATTACATCTTTTCGGCGCAGAAGCTAAATTAAGCTTGGTTCAAAATATTTTAAATAAACATTATAATTTCTGATTTTCTTAAAATAAGTTTTGAAAAAATTATAATTGATATTTAAAAGAATTTCAAAGTGAGATTTCTAGTTTTTTTTATAAAATGGACTGACTTAAAAAAAAAAAAAAAAAACGAGATTTTTAACGAAAATTTCGGACGTGCTAGGAACGATTAAAAAATGTAAAAAAATACCCCAAAAATACTTTGATTTTTTTCTCTTAATAATAACATAAACATTTAGACGATAAAATTTTGTTTTCGTCAAGTTTGGCGTCTTTTTCATCATGCTATGTTCTTTTTTTAGCGATCTCGTGGAGGTACCTATATAGGTAGGTTGATTTTTCACTTTTTAAAATATCAAAATAATAATGTACCGAAAGTTGTTTATAGACCTAAGTACTGATACAAAAAATTAGATCTGACACTTCAACGGTTTTTTGAGCATTTGGCATCAAAGTTTGTAGACAAAAATGCACTGAAAAATCCTCTATTTTGCAAGATTTTGCCTAAATATTGATGAGAAACCAAAAAATTTCAGTATTTAAATCAGGGAATGTTATTTTATTTTATCAAAATGAAGAAATTACAACTAAACTTCAAATTGAAAATCTGCTCCCACCATTATCAGTGACGACTTCGAAATGGTGTTGTTTACCTCATGAATTATGCAGTAATAGTTGAATACATTAACAAAATGATTTTTTCTAGTATGAATGAAAATACAGCAAACAAACAAATATGGGAAAACATAATAGTTTAATAGGGATTAATATAGAGAGTTAAATAGCTCCATATAAGAGTCCTTAGACGAGAATGATGGTCTCAATTTCTGACACAAAACTTTTTCTATTATGTGCTGGTGCTTTGCTTCAAAGCTATACACAGATTGGGAAGCTTCTGTTATTAACTTGACTGCCTTTTCCACGCCTTGAGAATGTGAGGGCAAACCTGATAAGCCAAGCTTTGTCCCATTTAATAATGATTCCTGAAGTTCATTTTCAGAAAATTCTTCTGTGAGTGGTGGTTCACAAATTCCACTTAATGACAGATCTATTAACTGTGTCCAGTGCATAGCTTTAAAATTGATAGTTGTCATTCTTTTTAATCTTTTCTTGGCTGGATCCCCACTCCTGAAAGAATATAAAATTTAATTTGAGTTATTAAAAAATAAAAAATAAAATCCTTAAAATGATTCTATAAATCGGTATATCTAATTTAGTCAGTTTTATATGAATAAATATTTACTTACCTAATGGCCAAAATTCTTTTTATAGCTTCTTCTCTCACTTCCAGATTTGACCATTGAATATAAGATATTTTCAGGCAGTAAGGCAAAAGCATTGTATTGTATATTTTTCAATGTAATTTTTTGGATTTCATATGGTTGCTTCCTAATCCTTTGGATCATATTGAAAATATAAATTGGCTGATTGTGGAACTTGTTATTTCTTTTGATTTCGAACCAGGAAATGGCATATACATTCACAATAAAATTTATTAAACTGTGGAATTTAGTTGAAAGATTTCGTGGGTATGCACCACGAGTCCATAAACACATCATCCTGATGGCTAAAGTTAACCACCTTGCCTGGTTTAATGGACCAATTTTCTATTATGCAAATTTAGAGTCCACCTTAACTCTAGAAATACCCACTGTATATTCATAAAGGAGTCATTGGTCACAACTAAGGGTATCTGTATTTTCAATTTTAAAAATAGAATCTAGAGGACTGCTAACAGCTGAAAATGATATTTGGTGTAATTTATAGTAATCATTTGCACATAATTTACCCAGTGGACCATTGAATGTCGTAGAGCTTTTTGTAGTAGCATCTACAAGTTTAAAAAGAGGTCTAAACGCAAGTTCATTTTGGTGCAAGGAGCAACCAATAGTGTGAAGATTTCTGTTAAGTTTTCTTTCTAGAAGTGCAACAAGTTCATGTTCACAGCCTGTATTGGCATTAGTGTTGTCAACAAGGATAGCCTTGATAGTACTCACACTGTTGAATTTATGCAAAACATCATCCACCTGCTCGGCAAGAACAGCACTAGTTGCACCAATATTAGGAAGAACCCTGTGTGCCAGATATTTACTTTCATATGTCATTTCCTTTGTGACAGTCAAGTGACATTCTGATCCTTTGGGTTTTTTTCAAAGTGTTTTCTCTCCATTTTCCTCCACTATTTCCTTGTACATTGGTGTGTCGTTGTCAATTCTCCCATCAACTTCAATCCAAAGAAGATTCTCCACCTTTTCATCATGATGTTGATGGGCATTTGTTTTCACTTTAGCCTTTGTTCTATCAATTTTACATTTATCTATATAGATATCTTTTATATTAATATTGGGGATAAGAAGGCCCATAGCCCTCAATTCCAAGAGCAAGGCATTGGCAAGGCTGGCTCCAGAATTGAAAGATACATCACCCCTGATCAACTCAATAGCATACCGTGGAATTTTGATAAGGCTATAAGGCCCTTTGGGGTGCTTTTTCCTGCCATTTTTATTAAAATATCTGAAAAAGAAAATACATGCATTATCAGAAATTACACAAATATTTTTCAAAATAAATTTGAAAATAAAGTTCGAAATACATTATTAAATTAAAAGTAATGTTTAAAAGTAGAATTAGTTCTGAGATTAGCTCGTAAAAAGGCTTTTAAATAAAACACACTAACTTTGAAAATATAAACAAATTACAATAATTGTAAAAGTTGTATTTTTTTTTAAATAGTAAGTATATTTTGATGAAAAATACAATAGATATTTGTGCTAGTTAAAAGTGTAAACCATAAACAAAAATAAAACAGACTTACAAGAGAAGGTAATTACTGCCAATAAATACGGAGGAAATATCCAGTAAATAAGATGGCATTCATAAGTAGTTATTTGTATTTTAAACTAAATATTTTAGTGTGTTTTATTTTTATTTTATTTTTTGGTAACTTTATTTAATTTATTAAGAGAATAGATACTAATCTTAAAAATATTCATTATTAAGTGTATTTTTTTCTTTTCTTTTCGTTAAGACTCGGTTTTAATTTAACCTACACATATTTCCTATGACACCGATATAATGATAAATATCGCAATTTATTTTGGCTAAGTTCGATTCCTCAAATAAATACAAAGTTTTGAAGAAAAATATTTTTGTGGTGATTTTTTTACTTTATTTGGCAACTTTCCCCGAGGTAATTTTTTTACAGTTCAAGATCGACCTACCCTATATATATATATATATATATATATATATATATATATATATATAGAGAGAGAGAGAGAGAGATAGATAGATAGATAGATAGATAGATATGATATGATATGATATGACTTAACGATATATAATGTTATACATGAAGAAACAGTATTAGAAAATAGTATGACAAATTAGAAAAAAGTTATTGTGACGCGTTTTATCCGTTAGGACTTCATCGGATTGGGTTTGTTGACGTTGCCACGACGTCAACAAACCCAGTCCGATTAATATTATATCATATTTACTGGTTTTACACAAATACTTTAAGACCAACAGTTGTGGCAACAATGACACTTGCTGAGCCTCAGGTGTTTGTCCGTCTAACAATTTATCCATCGAACGCATTGTCAACAAATAAAGAAATCCTATGAGAAAACAGGACTCAATATCGAAAATTGGCCGTTTGTTGATATAGACAATATAAACATAGTGTTTGTCTATTTCACGCTTCAAGCCATCTTATGACCATATATATGTATCATATTTGCTGGTTTTACATGAATATATTTAAGCGACTAGTCATCGCAACACTGACAATTTATAAAAGAAAATCATGTGTAGTGTTGTATTTTCTTGAAACTGGATTCCTTCAGTCGCTTCCATGCTGAGATTTATGCCCGTTGTCTTAGAAACAAAAAGCGATACAGAAACAAATCTTTAACATAATAAGGAAAAAGAAAACAAATAATAATTTGTTTAACTCGGTAAATATTTACTTTTCAATACAACTCCTCGTTTCATACATTTAGACAAACGCTTCTCCATAGATAATCTTGATCAAACACTTAAACACTTCAACAAATTAAGAAAATCTTTAAACGGGATATTTATAAACCATAATTTGTTTCAGATGAAAGCTTTAATAACATAATTATTTACTGTCATCCTTTACTGTCATATTCAAATACCTCGGTGTATTGCAAACTTATAAAACATTTAGTTTCGGAGATCAGAAACCTTAACAAGATAATTTGTGTTATGGATAGGTTTTGTCTAACACCATAAAATCTTAAGGAATCAATATATTAACCTGAGGACACATGTTTTAAAATAGCCTCGTCAAATCTAGACTCTCATATGGATGTAATGCATGGCGTGCAACTCGTTCAGACATGTTTGAACTCTTATCTGTTTATAACCGTTTCCTTAGATCAGTTAATAAAATGGCTTCGTGAATGAATTCTTGAGATTTTCAAGAAAATCCTATAGACTAGCGCTGCAGAATTACAAACAAGTAACTTTACCAACATTAATAAAAATCACATCTTTGGAAGGTTTCCACCAGCAGCCAAAGCTAAAATGGTTAGCACCTGTAGCTAGAATGGAAAATAATGATATAATCAAGATGTCGACCTTCAACATTACTTTAGACAAAAGGGTTGGATGGAAACGTCCATCAAGTTTTGAAAGAGCGATAACAGTTATTGAACATGAGAAGTCAATGATTACTGAATCTTCCTTATATGGAAACGGCTACTCTCGCCGTTGTCTTTCCTGCTCATTGATGTTTGGAATATTTATCGATCGTACCTTGATGTTGTCTGTAAAGTATTTGTTGCCATGCATGGCATCCATATGGAAAGCCTCGATCTGACGAGGCTATTTAAGAACATGACTCAAGTTTTCAGGTTAATGACTCATTGATTTGTATTTTAAGTCAGAAAGTACATTTAGATTGTAAGAAGTCTTTCTTTTTTTTTTTTTTTTTGAGATAATAATGATTCACTGATACAAGTACAACTAATTAACGCATAGTTGGAGGGAGAGGAGGTGGATTCATAACTTTGGCAAGGTTATTTGTGCGTAAGTGAATATAATAAACCCGACTGGAATTGGAACTCGGCTTTCTCATTTACAATTCAGAAACGTTATCCATTATCCCATCTTCTCATCCAAGCTCGCAGCACTTTGTATTTCCAAGCGGTCACCCATCTAGGTACTGTCCAGTTGCTTAACTTTAGTGATCGTACAAGAACCGGTGTTTCAACATGATATGGCCGTAAGCTCTTCAGGTTAATTATGTAGCAATTTGTGGTGTTGGGCGAAACTATACTTAGCGCCACCTATTCAATTTCTTTATCTTTTGTACTAAATTTGTTATAACTGACCTTATACACCGGGTTATTTCAAGAGTTTAGTATTTATTAATTTTACATCCTGAATCTTTCTGATGGATTCAGGGCATGGGCCATCACAACTTTCATTCTAATTCCACATCATATTTTCTTCTTTTCACCCTGTACAAGGCCCGGGGGCCACTCGAGGTAGAGGGTTATGTTAAGTGCGGATAGGAGGGGAAGATAATGGTTAACCCTGTGATCGGGAAAACATCCTCTTGTCGGTTTCATAGAGCAGTAGTTCACAAGAAAAAGCTGTTTGAGTGGAACTTACTTCTCACCGATGGAAGACGGTAGAAATGTGGGTGGTTTGCTAATATGTAAGTGGCATGGCGTGTCCTTGCCGTGAAGGTCCAGGGAATATAGTTCGTCCGAACACTTTTCCGTGGAAGTAGCGATAGAACAGCGAGAGGCTTGCCACATCCCGCCTGTCAGAGACGAGTTGGAGGGTGCTGAATAATTTATCACCCACAAAGACTCTGAGATGCATTTGAATTCTGTCAAGACTGAAGAGTGAAGTCTGGGCAACTCCCGCTTAAATATGACAACAGCACTCCATTTTTTTACCTAATATGTCTCCTGTAAAGGTAGAGTTTACGTTATAGAAAGGTTTATCTAAGTATCTATGTTTTGGAACACTTGGTAGAGAATGAAGAACAGAAATTAATCAAGTATTGTCTTCTTACCCTTCAAGCTGATTAATAATTTTCTCATTAGGTATTTGCCAATATTCAAGTTCTACAAAGAGCGGTTAATTTTATAATTATCTTCAGTAGCAATTTCTTCGCGATGGCCTGTGAAGCTTAAATCTGCATGCCGAGTTCAAATGCTGGTCTGTTCTATTTTATTCACTTCGCACTAGTTCCCTTGGAAAAAAAAACATAATTCCATCTTCCTCCAACTAGCTGGACAGATTGGATCCACATGCCTTCAGGTGGCAACCAGTGTAGGAGAAGGAAAATTAAATTCAAAACCAGTCTGAAGAGGTCCTCCTATCCTAGACAAACTGCTGATACAGCTGCAGCACGTGGTACTCCTACGACACTAATAGGTTAGAAAACTCGTGACGTAAAGACAAAGAGTTCTTCCCAGAGACTGAATAATAGCACTTTAAAGCAGGTTAGCCGTAGCAATATAGGGAGGCAGAGTGAAGTCAAAGGTCGATTTTCAAAAAGGGGGACGTGACATAATTAACTGGTTTGCACAGTTTCTCTGAACGAATGAGAACATAATGCACAGGCTTTATGGCCAATCGATGAAAACGCCACTCCTTGTATAAGCAGAGAAATTAAGCAGCGTCGAACTTGGTCAATACTTTGATAAGCGATTGCTTCTAAACACTCATCATCATCTTGCGGCCTCAGCCGAGATTGAACTCAATACACCTCTCTAAACACTAGGTACCGACGGCAGGGCGTGGTCTTGTTTTATCCTAAGATATACTTAGTAATGTTAAGAGAATCTATTTTTATGAATGAAGCTTCTCGAAGTTCGGAGTCATTTAGATCAAAAGCTTCAAAGAATACTTTCATGTGGTCGGATGACCTTACAAAGTAAAGGTAATCATCCGGGGATTCGTATTCGTTGGTTGGTGCGAAAAATTAAGCGACTTGGCTGAAGAAGTCAGTTGTTATACTGCTTATACTGCTTCAGAGCAGTCTGTTTACTACCATTCGTTGATCTGACAGGTAAACTATTATGTTTTTGTTCCCTTTTAGTCACTGACCAAATCAATAAAATTAAACTAAAACCCTTTTTTGCTTACTATAAAACTTAGTTGGTCTTCTGCAGTTCCTTTTACTCCTCTATATCTTATTTCTTTTGTTCAACACGTGACACTAATAAATAACTCTTCTGTATCTGCCTATATTTCTGAGATGAGGTATTTTAACTGTTTACACTGTTTACATTGTTTGTATTGCTGTTCTGATCGTTATTGTCATATTCATGACGTTTCGACCGTTGTACGCTCCGGTGATATATGTTGGAATTTCGAACTGAAAACTTCATTTCGTCCATCGGGATAGATCGTTCTAGTTCTACGTGCCATGCCTTTTCCGGATATCTCAGTTTCAGTTAATTTCCTTTAGTAACTCAACTCTCCAAGATTTTGTTCACCTCTGCTGTGGCTAGGTATTGAACTCAGAACTTTCTGGGTCAAGTCACTCGATTACTTCAACCAACGCTTTTATCCAAGAATACCGAAGTGTACAAAGGCTGAAACGTCGTAAATAGGACAGTAAAGATGAGGACAACAGTCTAAACTCTTTTATGTGGTCGGATGACTTTACAATGTGGTGGTCCTCATCCGGGTATTTGTATTCGTTAACTGGTGCCAAAATTAAGCGAGTTGACCGGCGAAGACAGTTGTTGTACATATTAGCTTCAGAGCAGTTCATTTACTACGCTTTGCTTGCCCTGACACGTAAGCCATTATGTTTTTGCTTTTTAGCCAATGACCAAATAAATAAAATTAAAATAAAACTTAGTTGGTCATCTGTCGTTCCCTTTAATTCTCTTTATCTTATTTCTTTCGTCGTACACGTGACAGTAATAAATAACTCTTCTGGTTTACGGCTAAGTCACTCTGAAGATATATTTTATCGTCTAGTTGGGTTGATTTTGAAATGTGTCAACCCATGTTGGGTTATTTAATGTCAAAATCAGCTATTAAAAGATAATTGAGTCTATAAGCATTTACTTGGTTCGACCCCTCACCTCCGAACCAGCCGAGGAAGTTTGAATTTAATATTAGGTCAAACCGTACCTCCCCAGGCAGTAACTCTCCTTCTAGATTTTTTTTTAAGCATTTCACCCCAAGCAAGGCGGGAAGCCACTAGGACGCAAGGGGTTACAGAAAGTTTAGAGCAAGATCATATAGGAGTGATAGAAGAAAGGATGAGGAGAAGAGTAGTGGATAGATCAAGGCAACTGGAGATGTCGATTGACATTACACTTGAATAGCTGGAGATTATAGCTCACAGGGAAACAGGAGAAGGGAAGGGAGTTCCACAGGCGAGAGGTGCGAGACATGAAGCTATTAGAGTAGAAGAGACGGCTACATTTAGGAGTTTCGACAGTGAAGGGGTGAGAGCAGGATGCCTGCCTCGTAAGGCGCTGGAACTCATGACGTCTGGAAACCAGCGAGTGCAGCTCCTCGGAACAATTTCCATGAAAGTATTTGTAGAACAGACAGAGGGAGGCGACGGCGCGTCTGTGAGAAAGTGACTGTAGACGAGACGCCAGGGCAGGGCCAACTACATTGCATATCCGCCTCTGGAGCCTATCAAGAACCCCGAGGCAAAATGGGACTGAAGTCATTATTCAACACCTGAGGAGACCCCAAAAGGAAAAGTGTCGTGGGAGCTTTAGCAATTTTTGAACAACTTCTCACTTTAAACTTCAACGTTGTCATACATTCTGTTGGGTAGATACCTACTTGGTTCGGTCCCAGGTAAATATTGATCGCCCTTTTTTAATTATTAACTTTTAAAGGACAAAAATAAATTACAGTAGTTTAAGAAAATTTATAAGTATTGCCACATTAAAACATGATTTGTTATGATTCACAAACTATTCAACATGTTCAATAAAGCGCTGAACCCTATCAGCAACACTTCTACAAACCACTTGACACATTTCTACATTAATCCAAGAAAACCTATAAGTAAAATTGCTTGGTTTACGTTAGGAACTGTTTTCGGTTTGAGCCTGTAAATGAGATCTTTCAGTTCACCCCCAAAAAACGTATGGTGGTGTTAGGTCTGGTGATCCTGATGGCCGCTAAATTGCTTCACATCTTCCTATCCACTTCAGCTCGAAACAGAAAAGAGCTTACTTTTGTAGTACCCTGTACAGGCATTTACTTGATTCAATATAGGTAAATATTAGTTGTTTATATTTGAGTTTATAAGCATTTAATTCTTAGGTGTCCGTAATTTTTGGCAAGAGTTTAAATCCTTCTACGACGGATGCAGTTTGCTTATTCTGTGCACCGTCAACAGGGTAACAGATGTTTGAGGTTAAGCCACTTCGAACCTGATCAATAATTAGGAACTTTTTATGAACATCAAAAGAATTCTGTGACTTTGTGCCAAAATTAAATCATCTGTAGATAATAAAATGAAGACTAAGTACATTCTTAGTTTCATTTATGACGTACCTATTGAAAGGATATGTAGCTAAGCGAATGTCTTAAATCAGAGAGTATATTTTAGTGCGGAGATTGTGAGCCACTGATCCGCTGGTCATAGACTGACCCACCATCAACCTTTCAGTGACCTGCGAGGAGCCAATGAAATGGCGTCATGAAATATGGCTCGCTATGAGCTATATAAATTCAACAAGTAAGAATCGCCTTGGTATGAATATGAGTGCTGCATGCGTTAAGCTGAAGACAACAAAGTATGAAACTCAAATTAAAAGATTAACCAATAAGGTGCAGCAACAAGTTTCTCATTATGAAAATATCAGACTCCCCTATCATTAGTTTTCTCTTTCAATTTCATTCCCTGTACCACCCTGCGTACTAGTGGCAATACCGCCTTGCTTGGGGTGAAATGATAAAAAAAATGAGTTATTCATTCATGTGCATGAAAATTTGTAAGTACTAAAAATGGTCCAGCACTATAAAAGTCCGTCATCTCTTTTAGTGTGTATGCATTTGTATGAACGTTTAATTTTAAACTATTTGTAGATAAACATAGCGTAGGGTATAAAAATAAGGAAAAAAAAATACCTGCTAATATGTGATGTCAGAAGTATTTGAAAAGTGGGTGTAGTTTCAACAGAATTAACTTAAGTACGATTTACTTTCAGATACAATTTCGAGAGAGTCAGTATTTAAAAATATATGGATCATTTATAACAAATTTATTATAGGAGACAATGAAATTAAACATAGAATAGGCTGTGCCGCAAGTAGTGACGCCTAATAACGCAAATTGCTATAAAATCAAAATATCATCCTGATAACTCGATTCATGTTCTTAAATAACTTTGTCAGACTTTCAACTTCATGTGGATTTTATGTTATAATATTATCACGATTACCATTTTCATAAAATCTAATCAACTGCCTATATTTCTGAGATGAGGTATTGTAAGTATTTACACTATTTACATTGTTCGGACTGTTGTCCCTATCTTTATTGCCACATTTACGACGTTTCGGCCCTTGTACGCTTCTTCCTTCTTCAGGATCTGTTTATATTTTTGAGAGGAGGTATTGTAACTATCTGAAATCACAACATAAAGATAGGGGCAACAGTCCGAACAATTTATATTGTCCGGACTGTTGTCCTCATCTTTATCACAACAAGAGTTGTGAGTTCAACATCTGGCCACAGCAGAACGAACAAAAACTTGAAAAGTTGCGGTACCAAAGGAAATTAACTAAATTACTGAGATGTACAGAAAGAATATGCGCATGTGGAAATGGAACAATCTGTCTCCCGCGGTCTAAATAAAATTCGAAATTCCAACAAATATCACCTGAAGAAGGCCAGAGAGTACAACGGTCAAAACGTCGTGAATATGGCAATAAAGATGATGACAAATAAAATAGTGTAAATAATATTTGTGTAAACAAAAAGAATAGTTGTAGAGTCCCAATGTGCTCAGTTTGAAATGTAAATATACATATGTTGGTATAGTTATTAATATATGTGTATTTCTTATCAATTTACGTTTTTTTTTTAATTTGTGGGGCACGTATTTTATTTCCTCGATTGTGACTTTATGAAAGAAGAACGAGGTCTGTTCAGAATTTTTAAAATATTTTTCTCTCCATTTTATGTTTATTAATATATTTTCTTTTTCGAATTGTTATTTATGGTGATTGAAAAAATATCCCGTTCAATTTCCTCTCCTTTTAATAAATACGTATGCTTTCTCATTTTCTTTTTTGCATTGATGTTATTAAAAATGATTAACCTGAAGTTTCAAATCATTTAGATATTTGCAACCTGAGCAAACTTGAGACATACGTGAGAGTCGTTGATTATCCCAAAATCTTTCAGAGAAAGAAAAAGGTTCGTTTATATTGAATTGAATATCTCAACCAAAAACACTCTTTAGCCAACAAACTAAATTTAGCAAATAGTAACCATTTTTTTTTTTACCCAAGGGTCACAATTTTAATGAGTTATATCGATTAAGAAAATAACCCAATTATGACCAAAAGCACTACTCTCCCTTACTGTGTTTTCCATGGCTACTCTCTACCTTCGCCACCTTCTGCACTGTGTGCACCGCCGGTGCATCAGTGCTGCAATTTAAAAGTGTGTAATACACTCAACAACACAAAGGTACTTGTATGACCTCAACATATCCACGAAGAATCATATTCTCCCTGTCCCAATCCCTCTCTCGCTATCTCTCTTTTTATTCTCCCTTTAAGATTACTTCTTTATTTTTGACATTTTATTAACCTCCTTTCTTCTTCTATTTTATGTTTTTATTTTCAGTTAATTATTTATGTATTTTCGTTTTTTTCCTCCTTTGTCTACTTTTTTTTTTCCAAGCCGATTCTTTGCTTCTTTGTGTTTTTCTTTGTTTTCTCCTTCTGACGCTTTCTGTTGCCTTTGTTTTCCTTATTTGCCTTTGTTTTCCTTATTTGTCTTTGTTTTCTTCTTTTTCCATGAATTCCTTTTTCCTTCTCTGCTTCTTTCCTTTGTCCTTACCTTCCTCTATGTTCCGTTTGTATTTTTTTTTCATGTGTGTCTTTTCTTTTTGTTTGTTTTTTTATTTTCTTCTTATTTGTTTTTTCTTTTCTTCTTGTTTCTTTTTTCTTTTCCTCTTGCTTGTTTTTTGTGTCTCGTTTGTTTTTCGTATCTTGTTTGTTTTTTTCTTCTTATTTGTTTTTTCTTTTCTTCTTGCTTGTTTTTTTGTGTCTCGTTTGTTTTTTGTGTCTCGTTTGTTTTTTGTATCTTGTTTGTTTTTTTCTTCTTGTTTGTTTTTTCTTTTCTTCTTGTTTGTTTTTTGTGTCTCGTTTGTTTTTCGTATCTTGTTTGTTTTTTTCTTCTTTTTTCTTTTCTTTTTGCTTGTTTTTTTTTTCGTCTCGTTTGTTTTTCGTATCTTGTTTGTTTTTTTCTTCTTATTTGTTTTTTCTTTTCTTCTTGCTTGTTTTTTTGTGTCTCGTTTGTTTTTTGTATCTTTTTTGTTTTTTTCTTCTTGTTTCTTTTTTCTTTTCTCTTGCTTGTTTTATTGTGTCTCGTTTGTTTTTCATATCTTGTTTGATTTTTCTTCTTGTTTGTTTTTCGTTTCTTGTTTGTATTTTCTTTTCTTTTTGTTTTTTTTCCTTTCTTCTCGCTATTTTTTGTTGGTTCTTTCTTCCATTTTTTTCTCGTTTTTTTTTCAAGTTCTTTCGTTATTCTTTTTTTTTTGTTTTTCTCTGATTTTTCCTTCTTCTGGGCTTTATCTTTCTTCCTTCTTACTTTTCTTTTCTTCTGCTTTTTAAACGAAATTCTTTTTCTATCTTTAGTTATCTCTTCCATTTTTTATATAATTTTAAACATTCTCTTTCTTTTTCCTGTTTTGTCTCTTTCTCTCGCCATATTACTTCTATGTTCGTTCTTTTTCCCACGAGCTTCGTTCATCGTGTGTCCCCTCTTTCTTTCATTCTTTTCACCTATTTTCTTTTTAGTTTTCAATTGTATTAGTCTTTCTTTTCAACTAATAATTCCTCTTCTTTTTAAGTTTTCTTTCTTTTCCCTCTGTTTTTCTTTGATTGGCATCTTCAGTTTCCTTCCTGTTCTTATTATTTTTTGCTCGTCCAACACTCTTTTACTTTTTGGTTTTCTCTCTTTCTCTCTTCTTTTCCATCTCTCTCACTCACTCACTCACCTCCTCACTCCACATATACAGACACAACGCACCAACATGCATCACTCAAGATATATATATATATATATATATATATATATATATATATATATATATATATATATATATATATATATATATATATATATAGAGAGAGAGAGAGTGGAGGAAACAAATACTGTACACATATAAATTTTTAATTTATTGTATTTTCCAACTAATGAATAAACATACTTTTCATATAATTAACTGTACACAGATGCATAATAACTAAATATGCATAGAAAACAGAAAAAAGTATTTAATAGAAATAAATCCCATTTATCCATTTTAATGGGTGAAAAAAGTATTAGAACTTATGGCAGGAAATACTTAACGTACCATGTGAAATTACATTAGAGGAGATCCAGAAATTGACGTGTTCGATGGATCAATGCCTTTCCAAGTCATTAAAAAAGGGATCACATATCTCATATTAACCAAATCCTTTTTTAACTATGTCTACTTTTTTATTTCGATTTAATTTCATCTTAGATACTGTATGTATCCATAAAAATCTGTAAATGAAGCAATTAAAGTGTTATTTTCTTTTTTTACTGGGGTTTTTATTACACCTCGCTAATAATTTGACAAACTAATAATTTAAGTAAATTAAGTAAATGACCGTAATTTCTGTTACTTTTTCTAGAAGCTTACAGTTTTTACAGAGTAGGTGTATCTGCATGTTTGCACCATCCTCCGATAATTTCGTTAAATTCCAACTAGTAGTTTGTGGATAGGATGTAAAAGTGTCACCTGTTAATAATTTGAAACACAGTGTATATTTACTACCCAGATTTCCGAAAAACTGAGCCATTAAAACCAATATCCTAAGCCCAAGTTTTCATGTGTTTCCTCTCCAGTCATACCTTGCTGACTGCTTGCCTACTGACTTACAAAAGGTTGCGGAAATTAATCTGTACTACATTTGGTTAGAGTGCGCTGTTCCTATTCTCTGAGTTCGTGCATATATATATATATATATATATATATATATATATATATATATATATATATATATATATATATATATCCTTCCTCTTTATGTACTTGCGAGCGCGTGTGCATGCAGATAGACAAAAGAATATTGCCGACAAATATTCATTTTTCAACAAAATCTTCTTTCTTGCGCTTTCTCATTTAATGACAGAGAACGAAAATTATATAATGAAATTTTCCCTTGAAACTTTCCTTGAAAAATATAATTACAATGATTTTTTTTTTTTGTTCTTCTTTTTTGGTTGAGTCAAGAAACTTTTTAGCACCCTGATCGGAAATGAGCTCAAACGTATTCTCATCGCATAAAGAGATATTTTTCTTTTAGGAGTGTAAATAATTTTTCGTAACCCCACCTCTGTTTCTCTCTCTCTCTAGCTGACGTTTTCTTTTTACATATGAAACTTAATTTAAATATGACATTTTCACTCTATAATGAATGATCGATGCGATTCAAGGAGGAGTGTTATATATATATATATAGTGTTATATATATATATATATATATATATATATATATATGTGTGTGTGTGTGTGTGTGTGTGTGTGTGTGTATGTATGTATGTATGTATAAACGTTTAATTAATAAATTAAAATGTAATTACAATTAAATGCAGGTTATCGTTGAGGTTTTTAATAAAGTGCGCTTATAGTTGTACGTGAGCTTGACGCATTTTTGGTGGAATCCGTAACGTAGCATATATATATATATATATATATATATATATATATATATATATATATATATATATATATATATGTGTGTGTGTGTGTGTGTATGAACAGAAAGAAAGAAGAGAAAGCAGACAAAAAAAAGAATTTGTTTTTTATTATTATTTTCACTATTGAACTATTTTTCTTGTTTCACTTCTTACTTTCCCATGCCTTTGTTCGATCCCTTTCTTTTCTGTCGACTTCTCTCACACATATCCATACACACGTTCACACATGTATACACACAGAAACACACACACACACACACATACATACACACACATATATATGTGTGCGTGTGTATATATATTTATATATATATATGTAAAGCCCATTCTAAAATGGTCCAGTTACTATTACCAAAAAAGTAGGTATCCTGAGAAAATGACGAATTAGTCCATCTCAAATTACTCCTCATGGAACCTTACATATTTATCGCAATAACTCTTCCTGTATTCAAAACAGCCTACATTTCCTCTTTATAGATTCGCCGGGTTCTCCGTCATTTCATCTATGGTCTGAATTTTTGTTCCCCATTTCAGCAACGAATTTGTCTTTGGGAAATACAGAGGCCTCAGTTAAAAAAAAAAAAAAAAAAAAAGAACAAAATCAAAATATTCAAAATGGCCGGATACTTTCCAGACAGCTTATGGAATCTTCCGATCTGCTTTTAATTTTCCCTCTGTCAATCGTCGCCTTCTTTTGGCTGCCGTCCGCATGCGTTCAACATTTTCACGTGTCATGTTTGTTGAAGGAAGGCCTGCTAGAACATGGATTGATTTCAACGGATTCCCGGTCGCCAGCATCTTAAGCGACAGCATCAAATATTATTTGCTTTTCATACTCAAAATTATTCGAATATTTTCAGCGGGCGAATGTCCAAGATTCAAACAATACTTCATGAATGTTCCCTGTGAATATGATGGCCTTAGAATAAACAATTTCACTTTATTCTATTTATACCGACCGAGTGACCCAATGAGAGAGTATCTGATCAGATTAATCAGAATATTTTTTAACTTAATACTATAAAAACAGATATTTATTAAATTGGGAGCAAAATAGATAAGGAGAAAAATACAATCTCCATAAATGCAATTTGAAAAAAAAAGGGAAGAAAAAATATATCAATAAAAATGGGACAAAAATATAATAAAAAAACTGTCCACCTTTCGTCCACCTTTCTCCAAGGGTTGTTTAAAAACATACCTGTGCACCACGCATAAAAAAATGAAAGAAACAAATTTCCACAGTGTGTATAAGAAATACACATATAATGATAATAGCCCAACATATCTATATTATCCGCTGGTCACATTGAGATACAACAAAATTTATTTTTGTTTGCACAAAGAAGGTTGCATAGATGTAATAAAAGTCTCTATACGAACGACTTAATACACAATACATACTTTCGTGGTGGGCCAGCACGCAAACCGATTATTAACAAGATGCCCTGACACTGGAGACCCGGATGTACTAGAACAGTTATGAAAATTTTGATGTTGACCTTATTAAAGGTATTCTGGCACATGCTGAGAAAATCTGATCCAAAGAAGAATCAGCCATATTATTGGTCCTGATTTGGCGTCTCGACTTAAGTCACTTTCCCACCGCCGTAAAGTTGATCGTGACTTTTCTATAAATACTTTGATGGTAATTGTTTGGATGAGCTAATTTTTTAAATTGCTGTTTTATTCCCCTTCCCCCACAGACAATGAATTGTACATATGGGGACAAGTTATGCTTTTCATAGAGACAATATGGTATTATGGTGAATGTAGTAAGAAAGGTAAGTAAGAATGTTGTTTTGCTGTTAGGAATATTGTGGCATGTTAGGGTCAGTGTTTGTGGTTAGCTAAGTTTAAAGTTAAGACAGAACAAGACCGTCCTTTTCCCCATTGCCCATTTTGGCTTTGTGCCACATTTTGTAAATATTTACAAATAAATGGTAAATAGCTTATCTCATATTATAAAAACAGATTAAGATTTATATTTTGAAATTGCTGCTTTATCCCCAGCACACACACAGACAAGAATTGAACATGTGGGGACTAGTTAGGACTTCATGGAGATTCTAAGGAATTATGGTGGATGTAGTAAAAATGATAAGTAAGAAGGTGTTGTTTTGGTGGAAGGAATATTATGGTATTTGGGGGTTAGTGATTGTGGTTAACTAAGTTTAATTATAAGATTAGCATTTCCCCATCTCCTATTTTAGCCTTGTGCCACATTTTTGTATTTTATTACAAAATAAATATCACTCTTCGCTATAGCACCTAGACTTTATGAATTTTAAGACTAGATTAATTTCTAGACTGTCGACGAGGCCACATCAATTTAAAGCTGAGTCGACGTATGTATCTTTCGATACATGACTGACGAGGCAGATTTTATTCTTGCAGTAGGTTGCCATTTCTTTCTGCGGTAGACCAGTTGCCATCCATGGTTATAGAACCCGGTCTGTCCTGCTATTTAGGCATAGCTGGGTGAGGGGAGAAGATGAGGATTCATACCTTTCCCAAGTGCAAGTGAATGTAATGGATTCGACTGGAATCCGAGCCGCTATCCATTACTCCACCGACAGATAGGCAGGCTATCATTATGGGATGATTTTAAAATTGGTTGAGGAGAGAAAACGATACTTGAATTAATTTTCTTTAGTGTTGTTTCTTGAAAATATGTTTCTTATATTTTCTATCGTTTCTGCTAAAAATTATCAATATTTTTTTTATTTTTTACTTCAGTACTGGATTTTGGATATCTTCTTTTTGTTTTCACTTATTCCTACGCACTTTCTTTAATTTTGTCACCTTACTTCATTCTCTTATTCAAAGCTTTCTCTCTATGGGACTATTTTATTGCTTTCTTTATTTTCGCTTTTTTCCTGAATTTCATTCACACACGCTTTCATATTCTGCCCATTAAAATTTATTAAGAGCTACAAAGGACAGGAAGTTGTGAAGAGCCATAATTGCCAACGTCCTGAAAGGACACGGTACATAGAAGAAGAAGAAGTTTTCCCACTCTCGTATCTACGTTTCTTTCTTTCTTTTCGTTTCTCTTCCGATAGATCAATCATATTTCTGTCACAATAACACCACGATTCTCTTTCATTTTCTCATTTACTAGCCTTTTCCTTCGCACTTCCGTCTTCACCTTCTTTTCACCTTATAAATTAACTTCTTTGTCCTTCATTTCACCCCTGCCTGGCTTGCCCCCTCCCCCCACGCGCACCCATCCGCCTACACACTGAAAGAAATGTAAACAGAGGTGAAGTCACTACTCGATATCCTTCCGCCATGTTCACCTGCCCTAAATAAGCGCACCTTTAAGGCGAACAAATTCGGCCGACGTGCAGCATTGTAGCAATGATTTTTAAAGCCATAATTCCATTTCGTCTTAAGCCGCTTCAGATTGCCAGCACACACGCAAGCTCACGCACACATGAGCTAAATCACACGTACGCATATACACATACATATATTCGCAAGCGTTCACAGATATACATTCTTATATACATAGGTACATCAAGAATTCCGTAACCTAATAATTCTTTTTTTCTTCTACTAATGTCCACCCAATACAAGACCCAAGAGCCACTCGGGGTAGAGGATTATCGAAGAAGTTTGTTGCGTGAGTGATAAGAGTAGAAGAAATAGCTACCAACCCAAGATTTCAACAGGGTAAGATTGTAGCGGCCGGGAAAGCGTTAAAAATACAATTGTTTTACGAAATATTTATTTTTTCAACATAATCTCCTTCCTTGTCAATGCACTTAAACGCTGAATTTTAATCTCATAAATTGTTCATTATACAGTGAAAATTTCTGATCATAATCAACTAGTAAGTGGTTATGCAATTTATTGACCCCCCACTCACCCATACATACATACATATATATATATATATATATATATATATATATATATATATATATATATTATTTAATTATATTTAGGCTCTACATTTGTATCGAGCACTGTTTTTTAAAAAATAATAACAAAAATACTAAAGAACTTTGGATTATTTACCTAACGAGTTCTTTCCTATTTTCTATATATTTTCACACACTCACACACACACACACACACACACACACACACACACACACACACATATATATATATATATTCATACACATTCATATGCGTACGCATAAACGCATAAATTAGCAATGTAGACACGCAGGACAAAATAAAAGCTATATTGTGAATGGAATCTCGTCGAAAAAAGAACCACTTTCAAAAAGGAAAAATAAAAGAATTAGAGGGAAAAGAAAAAATTAAAAAAGGAATAGAAAGAAATAAAGAAAGAAAATTTAAAGAAAAAAAAAAGACTGGAATAAAGAATGGATAGCTTAAAAGCAAAAAAAAGAAAGAAAGAAAACAACGTAATCACGCAAGATAGATACATAGATACATAACGTGAAAGAGAAAATGAAAAGAAAATAAACAAATAGAAAAAAAGAAAGAATAAAAAGGATTATAAACAACAATAAATAAATAAAAAAGGAAAAAAAAATGAACGAAATCCGATGAATACAGGAAAACAATTTCCCGCTAATTTACTGATCAATGGCCGAAAATATAGCAAAATTCCCTTGATGAATATTCCGCAGTAAATAGCTTCATGTTTTTGCCGCGGGGTTAAACGGACTACTTCCGGTGAGAACGTCATCTACAATGCTTCAAAATGGCGTTTGAGCGCCTGGTTTCTTGGCTCCTGATCGTTGGAGACAGCAGCAATTTGAATAATACTTATTTCTTTATTTATTTGAGAACATTGTCTGCTATTTGACCGATTTATCAATGTTTTTCTTTTCTAAAATAAGTAATCGATTTTTGATGGACTCGATGAGTTGATCCGAATTTGGTATTTTCTTTTTAACGTATAAATGTTAATTAGTGAGTGAATTTTTTAAGAAGTCATAAGGGTTTAATATTTAACCCAATTAGGTAAGACTTATGCTTCTTCTACGTGCCACGTCCCTTCAAGTTGTGGGCGATCACGGCTCTCCAAAACTTCCTATTATTTGTAGTTCTTGGCAGTGTTTTCCTTTATTTTACTACCCATTTCCATCCCTGATCTGCCATCCATTTACACAAGCTTCTTACATAGGTCATTCGTTATTTCTTACTGTTCCTCATATCATGTGAGTGTCAAATTATCTAAGCCTACTTTCCTCGATATGTGCGCTAGTGTCTCTTTCTGATTTTAAGTATAAGTATCCTTTTTGTTTCCATTTTCTTTAAGACGGCCTCGTTACTCACATGCTCCCTCCATGGTATTCTCGGCTTCCTTCAGTAGAACTACATCTCTCTTGCCAAAAGTAATCAACTGCGAAGAAATTGTCCAGCATTCACTCTAGTAGGACTGATATTACACAACAGTCGAACACTTTTTCTTTATTTCTAATGAAATGTTCCTGTTCTTGACTTTCGCCATTTCAACACGCTTTCGGATTCCGAGGTTAATTTTTCCTTCCTCTGTTAAAAACAATTCCTAGATTTGTTTTTTTTGTTTTGTTTTTTTTAGTCGAGTTCACCCCAAACTAGGCAGTAAAACTACTATGATACAAGGAGCTACTGAGTGTAAAAGAATGAGAAAAAAAGACAAATATTATTAAGGAGCGAGAACAAAAAAAAGAGTAATCAAGAAAACAGTAGGTAACGATTGACATCAAAATTGGCGGGAAAATATGGAGCCAGACGAGTCTTCCACAAGTGAGAACGACGAGACAAAGAAACTGTTAGCATAGAACATAGGTTACATCTAACCAATTCGACTGTAAATTGATGAGAACTTGTTTGCTAATCTAGTATTGCGCTTAAATTCTAGGTACCATAGCGGAGGGTTCATCCGAACAATTGCGATAAAACTATTTTTAGAAAAGGTATAGGGAAGCAACTTGACGGTGGTGGGAAAGTGACGCCAGGTCAGGACGAATAATATTGCTGATTCTTCTTTGGATTTTATCAAGAATCTTCAGTTCGTATCTGGCATCCTACACCGTTTCTCTTGGTGACAACCATACATTCTGTTTTATCACAATTTATGTCTAATCTTTTCTTTCCGTTTTACTTTGTTACCTTTTCTTTTATAGGTGACCGTGTAGTTTTCATTCCGTGTCTGCCATCGAAATTGTGTCATCCACATATCTTCTATTGTTATGATTTGTCCACCAAGAATAAATCCTCGTGGGACTTCTAATTCTCTCAGGATCGCCTCACTGTATAGTTTGAATAAGTCTATTGAGAAAATGCATCTTTGTTTTACTCTTCTTTTATATTTCATTTTTCACCTTTACTAAACGAATAACTAAACAATCTTGTTTGACATATTAGTCTAACGATGTTCGCAGAATATAATGTATAAGGTTATAAATAATTAAATGACTGCTGTTAATTGTTATATGTCTGCTGATAATAAACCCGGGTAGGTCTTCTAGTTCTCTTAGGATCGTTATGCTGTAAACTTTTAGTAAATCAGGATTAAAACGAGTAGCAAATTTAATATTGTTGTTATTTTTAAATAGAACTGATTATAACAATTATATCCCCAGTAATACAGCCAAATTTAGGAAATTAAATGAAAATACGACCAGCCTTCTTAAGACACAAAAAGACTAATGACAGTTATAATAAAGCAGTAATCGGATCCATAAAACTTAACAAAATTATGACAGGGTATCATCCCAGCCATTTATACGGAAATGTTAAAATCTATAAGCCAAATTCCTTGCTACGTCATATAATTTATGAAATTCCTGCTACAGCCTATGACTTATCTAAAACTCTAAGCAAACCGATCCAAAGTTACTTATCAAATAAATATAGCGTTGGTTCCATCAACGAATACTTGTACATATTAAAATTCTAATAAACCTAATAATGGCATCCAAACAGCCTTAGATGATGAACGTCTATTTACTAATTCCCCTGTCAAAGAAACCATAGAAATAGTAATAAAGAACTTATATAATCCTCCTACTCTACCATCTCATATTAGATCAACTATTTTATGTAAACTTCTATCTTGCACGACACAAGTACTATTTTATAATCATTACACACAGGCTGTTGGCTTGGCTATGGAGTCACCACTGGGCCCAACTATCTAATTTCTATATTGACCTATGTAGAAAACGATGTCTTCAATCATTTCACTAAACTCTCAATATATGCCTGACATATTGGAAACAGGAAACAGAAATGAATTAAAAAAAAAACCTTTAGAAACGTTTAAGAGTAACTTATGAACTCACCATTAAAAATGACTTTCTAGCAAATGCTAATAATGATGATTTTACCACTTCACGATATAAAAAAAAAACAATGTAAAAATTTGTGTCTTCTTAATTATAAAAGCGATAATAAAAAATAAAATAGGTATTATAAAAACATGATTAACCATGCGATAATGATTTCTTCTTCGAACACATTATTTTGTAGAGAATTAAGCAGCATAAAACAAATACTTCTGTTAAGTATTTCACTCAATGCAGTAAAGCCATTAAGACACAAGGGGTTACTGAGTGTGAAAAAGAAAAAAAAGTAAACAAAGAAACATAATTAAGGTGCGAGAACAATAGAAGAGTAATCAGGAAAACAGTAGATAAAGATTAACATTGAATTTAAATTCTTGGCTGGGAAACATGGAGCTGGAAGAGAGTTTCATAAACGAGAAGTGTGAGAAAAGAAAATTTCAGTGTAAAACTTACGGTTACATCTAGTCATTTCAAGTGTAAAAATGATGAGACCTAACTGCCTATCAAATACTAAGCTTAAATTCATAAAGCCTAGGTACCATAAGGAAGAATTCATTCGAACAATTTCCATAAAAGTATTTCTAGAAAAGGCACATGGAAGCTATATTACGGCGGTAGGAAAGTGACTGAAGCCGAGATGTCAGATCAGGACTTGTAATATTGCTTATTCTTCTTTTGATTTTATCAAGAATCTCTAGATATATAGTTAGATCACCGGACCATATGTAACAGCAATATTCAAAGCATGGTCGAATGGTACACTTAATGATATCCAAAATAGATTCTGGACAGAAAGAAAATTGTCTATCATAACACAGTAAACCAAATTTCTTAGAAGCAAACCTAGGAATAAATTCAATATTCATTCCACTTCATGTTAGCCGAGAATATTATCCAGAGAAAGCTCAATGAGTCACTCTACTGGATGTCAGCATGAGCCGTGCTGATGGGAGGAAGAAAGGCGTCTCTCAGATAATTAATAGAGGGAGGTTTCGTCTTGGAGGCGTTAAAATTAACAAGCCATTCCTTGCCCCAGTTAACAACAGACCGCAGGTCATTTTTATGATCAGCTGCCAACTGGAACTTGTCGAACTGATCAGACTTTCGATAGTAAGGAGTAAATGTCTGTGATATCAGCATAAATAAGTTGAGAAATGATGCAACCAAGAAGGTCACTGATGAAAATTAGGAAGAAAATAGGTCCAAGAATAGAGCCCTAAGGAACACCTGTATTAGTACAAAAAGATCTAGAAGATTGGCCATTCAAGACATGATTCATTTCATAAGGTCATACTGAATCAGTTCAATAATTTGTCCGGAAATACCATAACCTTTCAACTTGTGAAGAAAACCTGTATACCAAATCCAGTCGAACGCTTGTGAGATATCCAAAACAAAAGTCCGAGCTTCGCAATTCTTATCTAAAGCTTAATAGACACTTTCGGTAATAATCATTAATAGATCAGCAGTTCACCTAGAGAAGTGAAAGCCATATTGCTTGTCTGAAAGAAGGTCCTGCGATGTGATATGTTTAATCAAATCAGATTTGATTAGGGCCTCTAGTAGTTTGACAAAGAAATGTAGATGTCTAATAGGTCGATAATTAGAAGAGTTGGACGGTTCAATTGAGTTCTTAAAGACTGGAACAGCAGAAGAGGATTTCCAACAAACAGGATTGCAAGATAGAGATCAATATCTCATAAGTAATGGATTATTTCGTTTTGATAGTGTGGAAAGACGGAAAAGACATATCAGAAACGCTATATTGTTTTAGTAAGAAAAAGAAAGAAAGAAGGGAAGATAAATGTTTAACATCTGTTTCAGTGAAATGAGAAAATGTTGTCAATTTCAAATCTCATCATTTCTACCCACTTCTTAAAATAACGTCAAGCATTCATATGTATGATTGTTATTGTAATATTTTATTAAAGTTGTTAAGCTCAAATATTTAACGATGCGATAGGGGAATTTCTACGGATATTTAATTGCCGTAGAAATCGACACGGAATTATTAAATCATTACCTTAAGAATTAAGATTCACCAGAAAATTCAAATAGGAAAATCGGTATTTCACGAGTATTTCTAGTAATTAATAATTTTGACGACAGGCAATAAATGGATTATAGGGAGAAACCTATAATCAATAGTTGATTTTTATAAACACGTAATTAAGACCTGATTTTTATAAACCTTTTACTGGTACCGGATTTTTATAAGCCTATAATCAATAATAGATCCAAACCAAAATACCGGAATTTGACAAACATACTGACCATTCACAATTCTTGCTGGATTAGTTTCCATAATTTTCTTGGTAGATTAATTTCCATATTTTAGCGTTCAAGGTGTCTCTTATATTCTGCGTCCCGTCTGTTATAGTTAAACTTTTCCTCCATTTGAGCGTAAAAATAGGTACCATGATTATATCACTATGTTAACGATTTCAACAGCTAGTGACTTCTGGTTTTGTCCAAGGAAAAACATCGCTGTTGAGAGGGAAATTTCAGATCGTGGTCGAAGAATGTGACGAGGTAGCTAATGATGATCCCGAAAGAAGATTTTTCAAAGGTTGAAGCCTGTATCAAGGGGGATATTTTGAAAGGATATACTATGTATCTTTTGTTAATATTAAATAGCTGGATGCTGTTTTGACACATTTCGCGCGTGCGCGTGGCGAGGTTTTGGGATCATAACAGCATAGTTACTAAATTGAATTCTGTGTTAGGCATTCCAGCGGAATTCTCTGCGCCATAATTATCCTCCATTTCATTTGCAATGTATCTAATTCCTTGATTAATAATTAGACGTTCGAATTCATTCTCATGAATGATAAATTACATCCGGCAGCAATGCCTCTGATCGGGAGATTTGAGGTTTTGAAGTGCATAGATCTTTTAATTGTTGTTGTGCCAAGGTCCATTATGACCCTTGATGGTAGCACCCAGCTATGGGCAAATAGTGACCACCAAAACAAAAACACTATGATAGTATAAAGATACATATTTATAGTAAAAATACAAGCAATACATTTTTACATTAAAAAGGACCAACAATACATATTTATAGTAAAATGACCAGAAGGCATAAAAATTGTGTTCAAAAACATTTAGAGTTCGGTATTAAATAACCTATAGAGGTTGATATGCCCCTATACAAAATCAAACAAAAATTATTCGCATAAAAAATCATTTTCTTCAGATATACTGATATCTACATTTATTCAAGGAAATTAAGGTCGGAAGATAACAATCAAAATTTAATATTCTATAAAAGAGAATTTCTATACTCTGCAGTTGAACCGTACCACAGAACTGTAATGACATAAATTCGGGTCGCTCGTAAGTAATATGGTAACATACTTTTTTGGTCTTTCCAGCTTCAATCCTCTCAAGCGAATTTAGTTTTAATAATAATAATAAAGTTAAAGCAAAGTGTGTTTCTCGAGACGTTGTCTTGATTCAAGGAAAGTTGTTCATTTTTCTACACTCCCAAATGTTATTCATTTAACACGGCCATGCCAAACGTAAATGTCTGAACTATCTCCACTTAGTGATTTGCAAAAGTATCCTCAAGTGCCACTTTCATCATGTCCATCCGTTGAGCCAAACATAAAAAAGAAAGAATAAAGAAAGAAAGAAAGAAAGAAAGAAAAAAAGGCAAAGAATAAACGCAACACCAAACCCGCCTGGCTTCCGATATTTTCAAAACGAAACTTGTGACGCAGGCGAATATTCTTGACTTTTTAGAAGCTTTGTCTTATCAGCTGTCGCCAGGCAGCCTTCTTGTCCGCCATGTGGAACAACCAGAGTGGAAATAAAATAGCCTCAGTTAAAGAATAAAATAGTAAAAAAAAAAAAAAAAAAGAAGCTCAATAAAGAATAGAATTAATGCGAATAACGCCATGACACAAACAAAGCTACAAACATGCTGAGATAATTATGGCGACGAGTTGACGCTTAAGTGATTCAACATCACAAGGTTAACATAAAAGTCTGTCAAATGGCGGAAAGGTTTAACAAAATCGAACGGAATATAAAAGACACTTTTCTCTTTTCACTTCTATCATTCTTGGAGTTTTCTTAATTATTTTTGTCTTTTTACTTGGTTATCTTTCTTCTCATTTCTTCCGGTCATTTTTTTTTAAAGCGGCATTTTCTTTACAATAATTCCAGCTGCCAACGTTTGATTGAACCGAGTTTAAGATTTTTAGCGTACCACTGATCAATGCCTATGATTTCCTTGATCTAAAGTCGTTCATATTTTGGAGAAATTACCTATTAACTATTATATTTGTACATGCATACGGGTGTGCACAGATATACGTTTGTAGATGCGACACACAGACACACATGCACACATGTATTTATATACAGAAAGCGAGGGGGGGCAAACAGGAAGAGAGAGAGAGAGTGTGTGTGTGTGTGTGTGTGTGTGTGAGCGTATGTATTTGAGCGTGTGTAGGAATCAAACGTGTTTTTATATATATATATATATATATATATATATATATATATATATATATATATATATATACGAGTGGGTGCTGAAAAAGCTCTTGGTGTGACCAAGAAACCCTTTCGTTGAAATTATATGTATTAGGTTGTTTTAAAAGTAAAATCCGATTTTAGAATCTGCTTTTATTCTTGAATTAATGTATATAAGCAGTGTTTAAATCAGTTAAAACAGGGACACTGGACGTCTATGCGTTTCTACCATTGAATTATAATGTTATATATGCCCTTATTCCAAATAGAGACCTTGCATCGTTCAGTTGCGAGGGTGAATGGTGAAGCTTTGTCTGCAAATAAATGCCTTAAAGATGGAGGATTATATGTTGCAATTTGGCTATATTATACTTTATGAATTTCGTAAAGGAGTAAGCGTCAGAAGTACGACAAAAACATTCAGAGGTTTTATTTCGATCGTACTCCAATTGTTCGCACGGTCAAAAAGTGGTGTAACTTTAATCTAAATGACCAACCACGCCCCGGGTGCCCTTCGACGTCGTGGAGTATAAAGAAGAACTTTGTTAAGTGTTTGAAAATAGATATCTCAATTATCTTTCGTCATTTGAAAGAGACTTGGGTTCGTTTCCAAATTCGACACATGGGTGCCACATTCTATGACGGAACAGAGCATCCTCGATCATGCTTCTGCGGCGATTTCTTTTCTATTACGCCGTTCTTGGACATAAAGACACAGATCGTAGTTAAATAAAAAGTATTATGATCTGAGCACCCCCGAAAATCTTTAAATTTATAAATAGAAAAAAAAAATGCCGTAAGAATTTTTTTACCGTTAACAATAATTAAAAAAAAAAAATCCAGACGACATGCATTGAACGGATGTCAGTTTTCATTGAAAAATACATACCCTTACCAAATTGTAGCTAATAACTGATACAATGATACTGACATAAGGAATACCTAGACATCCCTTTCCAATTCAAGTAGAATATTCTGTAACCATGGAAACGTGATTTTAGCTGTGTCTTTAAAACCCAGTAATTTTTAAAAGTTACTCCAAAATTCGCTTGAGGATGAAATGGAACTAATGCTTTTAATTTAATTGCAAAATTAAATTCAGGGCTTTAGCTTCTATTTTTGAAACATAGTTAGAACTGTGTTTGCGGAATAAAACATATTTTAAATCAATTAATTTATAATATTATGCTCTGTAAATTTACATTGAGCACTATTTTGTAAAAATAAAAATATCTATAAGAACACCGGATTATATATCTTACTGTTCTTTCTTCTTTCTATATATATATATATATATATATATATATATATATATATATATATATGACATAAAATACAGTTTTTAAGGAATGCTATGTTTATGGGTAAAAGGAAATAGCATATGTATGTAAATATAAAAGTGGACTCTGAAGTCAACACCAAGCGACGACAGTGTTTCATGCGTGATAGCGAACAGAGTTCTTAGAACCAAATAGCCAGACTAATGGCACATATGATCTATTTATAGAGGCTTGTACAGAACCCGTCATACTTTTTGGAAGTACCGAATTCAGAGAAGAGAACTGCCTTACATATTGTCCCACTAGGTCGCAAAGGACCCTGCTCAGATTTTGAATTCAGAGTTGTCCGTCTCCTAGACCGGTTGCTATCCATGACTATAGAAACCAGGCTTTTATACTATTTACCTATGATGGGGAGAAGAGATAGATTCATACCTTGGGAAAAATATGAATCCATCTCGCAATCCATCACGTAAGTGAATGTAACGAACACGACTGAATTCGAACTCAGTTCCACCGTCCCTGCCTAACACAGACACACAAACATATATATATATATATATATATATATATATATATATATATATATATATATATATATATATATATATATATATATATTATAAAGTTTATATATATATATATATATAAATAAAAAAGAAAGAACAGTAAGATATATAATCCGGTGTTCTTATAGATATTTTTTTTTACATTTTTTGTCACTAGTGGAAGTGGATTTATCTGTAACCTTGGAAACGTGAATTATGATTTTAGCTGTGTCTTTAAAACCCAGTAATTTTAAAAGTTACTCCAAAATTCGTAGCTTTTTGCTTCCACTTTTGAAACATGGTTAGAACTGTGTAGCGAAAAAAAAAACATATTTTAAATCAATTAATTTATAATATATATATATATAATAGCTGGCCACTCGTATTCGAGGATACTTGTCTACTAGGGTATCTAGCCAATCCCTATTGCAGACGCTCGCTCAGGTACATTTGTGTTTGTTCAATACTCACTCACAGAGTCTACCTGTGGTTTATACGCCAACTATGCTGAGCAGACCTTAGTTGCAGTTTCTGGGAGAGAGCGTGTTATCTAGCGTGATCAACAATCTGAACGACACCAGCACACTCAAACCCTCGGTCACGATGACTTGTGACTATTGACGGTCCTAAGTGTTCCGTCTACCCAGTTTCACTCACTAGGCTTGGGTCAACCCCTCTTATGTGTTTCAGGCACGTTCCAAAGATGCCGCACGGTGGGATCGTCCTCCTTCAGACCATCAGGAAGTTTACTTCCCCACAAATCAACCGTGAGATTCGACCCCCGGTCTCATGGTCACAAAAGCGAACATTCTAACTACTCGCCCATATATATATATATATATATATATATATATATATATACTGTTCGAATATATTTACACTTTTTTCTTTGCTTTCTCTCACTAGTTTTCCCCGCCATAGACGAATACAAAAAGACGTGCTGGAAATATTATCCTGTTAACCCAGACAAATTAAAATATAGGCTTTTCACTATGTTTTCCTGTTTGTTTGTTTTTTAATTATTTCTGATTGAGATTTTATACATATTTAGTCTAAGTTTAAAATTAGTGAAAAGTCTGATTAAACCTCCAAAATTGTTCCATTTAAAGACACGCACATTTTCAATTTGAAATTTGAAACGTTCGTGAAAATATCGTTACTCTTTGCAAATAAAAATGTTTAACAAATATTTTAAGAGGTCACCGAACAGTTAGCGAGCTGTGATTATAACCAGATGAATTTCGATAGAATTAATAGTTATCGTCAAAAATGTGAGACGATCACTGAGTATGGCGGAAAATTCTTAAATGGCATCAAAATACTGACGTCCGAAAACATTAAAGATAGAAGGATAGTGGATAGTTTCGCTACCCTCCACTTGTAGAAAAGTATTCTGCCCAATGTAGCATATATGGCGTAATAGGTAAAGAGATAGTGTAGCTGTGGCAGCAATGGGACGCAGACATGTTTTAACAGTTTACCCACAGAATAATTGCTGCAGTTAGAAAATGAGGCTTTCTGTCACCGAGAGAGTGAGATCCGAGTTTTACACGAACAAGGGTACATCAGGAATATATAAATTCGTTATGGGCATCAGAAGCCAGGGAAGCAAGAACGGGGCTGTGGGTGATTGACAAGGATAATAAACATCCTAATGAAGGCTTTCTTCTCTGGTCTGTATCGGGAAATCCGGGTTTGTTCACTAATAACGTTTGTAATAATAAAATTTCGGGATAAAAATAACTTCACTAATTCTTTAGAAAAAACAAATCTATCTATCTATCTATCTATCTATCTATCTATCTATCTATCTATCTATCTATTGTGGGAACCTAACCTACCTACAAATGGACTTTTCCACATTTATATAATGGGGATACCAACTATGAGTAACAGAGAAGCCACCAGGTGTGAAGCCTCCAGGTGACGTCTGTCGAACTCTCTGCTTTGGCAGAGAGGAACCCGGACAAAGCTTTGCCGAAGGGCAAGGTTTCGTTCGGGGAGGTAGACAGGCCCTGAACCCGTCTAGACGGGTTCAAAGGGTATATTTTTGACCGAGCCTACGGGATCGGAGAAACCCACTTTAAACTCGGCCTTGTGCCACATATATTCCTCGTAGGTGGGATGAGTCACCAAGAGTGTATCACCGAGTGAGTGAATGACTGAGTCAAGACACCAGTGAGAGAAAGTACTCTCCAGTCCACTTTTACCGTTGTACTACTTTTTTTTCCGAGAATATACTATTTAACCTTATATCCGAGTCCGTGTTATCTTTCTAGGGTCCAACACCATAACACTATCTTAATCTGTTCATATCAATGAGAATATGTTTATAGCTATCTCCGTCTGTTCATATCTATCTATCTATCTATCTATCTATCTATCTATCTATCTATCTATCTCAATCTGTCCATATCAATGGGAATATGCTTATATCAAGTCCAAACTGTTTAATAACTAAAAGTGAGGCTTGTATTTTAAATAAAGTAAGGCTCTATTTCACTTTTTAAGAAAAGTGAAATAGAGCCTTACTTGTTGTGACATTCTTCGAAGTCGAGGGCTAAAGCAAATCTAATAAGCAGGACGAACGTAAGTTCGGAGATGACATATTATTTACTAGGATTTCTCGAAAGCGTACACCAATAGACATAGTCCAAATAATAAAAATTTTAATAACTAAAAGTGAGGCTTGTATTTTAAATAAAAAGTGTCCTCGCTATAACAATGCTTCAAGTAATACATACATATATATATATATATATATATATATATATATATATATATATATATATATACGTAAAATAATCTTAATCTATGCTATATTTATGAGTTAAATATCAGAAATAGAACGTATGTAAAAAAAAGTGGACATCGAGGTCAACACACGGCGAGAACATGTTTCTGTTTAAACGTAATCTTCATGTCTGAAAAACGGACTGTGTTGACCTCAATGCCACTTTCAAAATATATATATATATATATATATATATATATATATATATATAGATAGATAGATAGATAGATAGATAGATAATGTTTGTGGTCAATATACATATATATTTGTATATATATATATATATATATATATATATATAAATATATATATATATATATATACATACATACATATTCATATATATATAAAAAATTTTCAAGAGGATACAATCCAGGTAGAACTCAATGCCCAGGACAGAGTAAGAAGTATATATATATATATATATATATATATATATATATATATATATATATATATATATACACTTTTGTGTGTGTAGATAGATTTGTGTGTGTAGATAGATAGATAGACAGATAGATATGAACATACTGAAATAGCTAGCTAGCTAGCTAGATAGATAGATAGATAGGACCAAACTGACTGTTACATGTTAATGATAATTGAACATCAACGTTGTTCGGTTGAACTGTAAACGTGGTTATGTATTTAAATTCATTGTTATGATTTTTCCCACATCAGCCATTCTAGGAATGTAATGAAAACATCCACTGTCAAAAGAATAAAACACAAGTAAGACCTCTTCAGCCCTCCGAGACTGAAGGCTTTCAAACAAAATCACGACGTAGCAATCCGCCTTATAATTTCGCTCGTTATCCATCGCTCCCTTTGTTAATCAGATTTTATAACTGGTCGTGTTTTTTTTTTCCCATGGAAGATAAAAAAGAATCCAATCTTGCCTTTCACCAGAAGTTTTATAGTAGGGCATATGCTGTGTCATAGACATTTTACCACACATCAAGACGCGCCAAACCTTTTAGAGAATTAGGTTATTTGAGATTTTATTAATAAGAACGTCTAGCCGTTGTGAAGAGGTGACCAACTCAACCCTAGGATCGTTACTGCTGTAATCTATCCGATACTTACTAGGGGACACGCACCTAAGACCAAAGTTGACCTTAATTAATATCTATCCCCAGGCGCATTGCATAGGGATTGTATAGTTTGGTTTTTTCTCTTTCGCGGTATAGAAACATTTTCCAGTTTATTTAATATCGAGTTATGTCGTAAATTAAAGGTTTGAGTTATACGTGGGTAAAGACATAACCATAGGTTTACTATGCACGAGAGTTAAAATGGTAAACTAAATAGACTAATTGACTGATCTGTTTTTTACGACTTATCAATCTATTGCGGGATATTTAAAGCCGAAGAATATTTTTAGATTGTATGAATATTTTGGCGATAATATTGATTTTACTAATTAATCCATAGCTGGGGGCATAAGAGGTGGATTCATACCACATTTCTTAATGGTATTTGCACGTAAGGGAATATAACAAACCCGGCTGGAATAGGGACATGGAGATCCGAGTTCCAATTCTAAGCCATTATCCATTACACAAGCCGCACACCCAAGCTTACAGCACCTGGTTATCCCAAGCGGTTCCCATCTCGCTACTGATCAGGCTCAACGTTGCTTAACATCAGTGACCTTACGAGTACCGGTGTTTCAACATATGGCCGTAAGATCATATAAAACGATAATAGTAAATATTTAATTATAAAATTTTTAAAAATCGTAATATAAATATACTTGATGTAGAAAAATAATTTTACTGACGGTAAATAACTCGGATACATTTTACTTCTATTAAATGAAATATAGTCTAAAAAAACTAATAATGAAAATATTTTAAAGTTGTAATTAAAATTGTAGTTAATTAAAATGAATTCTAACCTAAACTTCTTTTAAATTGTAATTAAATAGATAAATAAAGTTTACTAAAATAGAGAAATGAAGTAGCTATTTTTGCCGTAAAGATAAAAAAAAAATTTTACTTAAAAAAATATTTAAATATAAAATTTTTTTTCAAAATCGTAATATAAATATACTTGATGTAGAAAAATAATTTTACTGACGGTAAGTAACATTTTACTTCTATTAAATGAAATATAGTTAGTCTATAAAAACTAATAATGAAAATATTTTAAAGTTGTAATTGAAACTGTAGTTAATTAAAATGAATATCAACCTAAACTTCTTTTAATTTGTAATTAAATAAATAAATAAAGTCTACTAAATCGGAGAAATGAAAATTTTACTTTAGTAATATTTAAATATAAAATTTTAAAAAAATCGTAATATATTTTAAATATACGAAAAAAAAAATGCCGTAAGAATTTTAGCCGTTAACAATATAATTAAAAAAATCTAGACGACAGGCTTTAACGGAAGTTAGATTTCATTGAAAAATACATCCCTTTCCCACGACCCAAACGTAGCAATAACTGATACATTAAATTATAGACATATTGAAAACCCAGCCACACCTGTCTAGAAAAATAGATTTATCTGTAACCTTGAAAACATGAATTTTGTTTTAGCTGTGTATTTAAAACCCAGTAATTTTAAAAAGTTACTCCAAAATTCGCTTGAGGATGAAATGGAACTAATGTCTTTAATTTAATCACAAAATTAAATTCGTGGCTTTTTAGCTTCCATTTTTGAAACATGGTTAGAACTGTGTAAAAAAAAACATATTTTAAATCAATTAATATATATATATATATATATATATATATATATATATATATATATATATATAATAAAAGGCTTAAACATTAACATTCCATGGTCATAATTTATTCCATTGGAATCGTAAATACGATCCAATTCATCAGACCTACAAATTCAAAAAGAAAACAGAAAAGAACAACTCCGGAAATAAAAATAGAATTTAGAGAGAGTGTAAGTATGAGTGTGTGGGACGAATGTTAGTGTCAACGTGAGGGTAACATACGAGAGAAGGTGGGAGATTAAAACTTAACAGAGAGGGGTTTTTATACTAGAGGTGAGTGGAAGGGGGAAATATGAATGTTGTCGGATGTCTAATACATTAAAGAACCTGGATTCTACCCTCTCAGAATTTTTTATTAAAAAATATACATGCATGTGTATGCACCTATGTATATATATATTTATATATTTTGCATATGTATGTGTATATTTACCACTAATATATATATATATATATATATATATATATATATATATATATATATATATATATATAAATTAGATCTCATTTAAATATTCATGGACCCTATTCGTAACATACTTGTTGACAACATTAATATAATAGTATCATCTACATGCAAAAAAGGCTAAAAATAATGGAAGTCTTATTAATAAAAACAAAAAAAACAACACTTAATAATATTAACTATGAACATGGACACAATATATTGACCGTGTTTTGAAAAATGAAAACATTTTATAAAACATATATGCAACAATTATTTCTTATATAACAGTTAAAATATTTAATCCTTGAAAATGGTTAAATGTATAGCCAAACGCGCTTGGATAAAAGAACATTCTGGCAGTTTTTATATAATTTATCATCTGAAAAGAAAAAAAAAAATATTAGATCGCATGAGAAATTATATAAAAAACTACATAAAAGCACCTTGTCTGTCGTATTCAATGAAATGTGCATGAAAGAAGGATTGCTGCCTAAATACACAAATCATATTTATTATAAAACCCAGGTTGTGTGTGTGTGTGTCTGTTCGTTTATATATTGGATCGGATTTCCTACATTTTTCAACCGATTTCAGCAAAACTTCACAGGTCTACGTAAAATTACCATGCGGTGGTTCTGACATTGCCCAAAATTGAAAAACACAATTGTTTTTGCACGAAATCAATTTGAAAACACGATTAAGAGGCATCGCTGTCGCGAGAATGAAAGGGAGACAACTCATATCGAGTTATACTCATTATAAAACCCAGGTTGTTTGTGTGTGTGTGTTCGTTTATATATGGGATCGGATTTCCTACATTTTTCAACAGATTTCAACAAAACTTCACTTTTTTTCCGGCAGGTAGTGTTTCTTATTGTCTTGCACACTTTTTGCTTTATTTTTACATTCAGAATGCTTTAAAAATTCCTTTTACAAGACAATTGTTTATAATAAAATTCTATTCAATCGGTAGACTCATAACGATTGAAAACAATGTTTTTGTTTGAGTTTGAGCAATTCGTAAAAAAACAAACAACAAAAAAAAAACTAATTAAGACATGCGTGTCCGTCAACCTTAAACAATAATCTTTGTCAATTTTATTTTTCAGTCTTTATGATGGTCGATACTTGATCTATCTCTTATTGTTACATCCCCGGCAACGCTGGCTCTACTATATATATATATATATATATATATATATATATATATATATATATATATATATATATATATATATATATATATAGAGAGAGAGAGAGAGAGAGAGAGAGAAAGAGAGAGAGAGAGATGGGCAAAAAGTCAGGTAATAGGAAATAGGTATCGAGTTGAACCCCTTTATCCTGAAAAATTGCAACCCCTTAGTCGGAAGACCTCTGGAGAGATTTTATGCCATGCCGTCTCGATAGGTGTCCCCAGCTCACTGAGATTCGTAAGTGCTGAACACGCGTCACCACTACGTCCCATAAATCTTTTGGTTTGGACGAACGTCGTGGCCACATCGGAAATTATCCAAAATGCTCCTTGAACCAATTCTCAGGGACTCGTACCCGGTACTTTCAAATAATTTTGGGGAGAAAAAAAAAACACAAAAATAAAAATACAGACATATTTTTCCATATCTCATTATCTGATGAAGCTTTTAATTTTCTTTACCTATCTGTTTATATATATATATATATATATATATATATATATATATATATATATATATATATGTATGTATAATGAAGCGAATAATTAGGAATTTTTTCTGTATTTTAATATCACTGTCTTATAAAAAGATATTTAATATAAGCAGCATTATCAGCATGTAATTTTCTTGAAAATTCCTTATCTATATACCTATAAACTCTTAATGTCCACCATCCCAAATAAAAATCCAGCATTAATAATAGGTTCTTTAAAAAATCCGTTATTAATTATAGATTCCTATCCTATAAACCATTAATATCTACCGTTCAAAAATAAATTGAACTTTGAACATGAACTGGTTAACTTACTGGATTCGGGTGTCGTATGGTTAGGTAATGCAATTCTCACTGAATCTTATATTTTCAGTATAAGTCAAGTTTTTCTTGCAAACTCAAAGCCACGACATGCGTGTCTATTATCATTATCTTTCGATCCTTTGTCAAATTCTTTATGGGTGGCTTGCGTCACTATTTCTTGTTATTTAAAGATAACTGAAGTCTGGATTATTTCCATTTGAATGCTTTCTATTTGTGTTAACATTTGAGATAAAGATAAAAAAACGGAATCTCTGTGACCATCACGCGCTTTATTTATATAAATTCACGCACGCGTAAATGTTCGGCTATTAATATACACACGTCTACTTTTTGCATATAACAATATATCAAACACAGATCAATATATCTATCTATATATCTATCTATCTATATATATATATATATATATATATATATATAGGTATATTACTGCTGAATTGAGTTAGAATTATTCTTACTGCTGATATGATGTCAATTCATGCAACTTTCTTCAGCTAAAGGGTAAGATATATAAATGGTCGACAGCTTTGTAATGTCGATTGTCCATTTGCAAACACAAGTCAAAGTTTTTTGTGGTAGAAGATAAAAGACAGGTGCTACTATTCAAGTAACAGTTTTTGCTACAGTACCAATATGGTACAACTTCGCTCATTGGAAGCAAATAGTTTCTAGTATTTTCTGTCGAGAACAGTTCATTAAAACCTTCTCCATCATCATCATCATCATCATCATCATTCCTATGACTGGGTGTGGTCGTAGGGTCGCTGCGTAGCTGAGCACCAGACCAGTTTCCTCCACATATATGGGATGGAAGCCGGGGGAATATTCATTCATGCCTGTCTTGGTAAACCTGGCGGATTCTATCATTCTCCCTAACTTGAAGGCTCACCTTTGCTACGGACACATGGCCATTGATCCCATCGGGGAAGCAATCCGCCCTGGCTGTTGATTTAAGTCTAGGAAACCCTCCGCCTGTCATCATCGCACTGGCTACATACTTAGCTATGGAACCCAGCCTTGGCGTTGTTAAACAGATTATTTGTAGCTCTCAATATTTATAGGCAGAAGAGAAATACATTGAATATACCTTTAAGCTCCAATACCGCCAATACCCTAATTATTTCATATTCAATGCGAAAGAAAAGGTTTGTAAAATATTTAAAAATAGAGGAGTGAATCTTTCTGACAAAACCAACGAATGAAAATATATTATTGTACCTACCAACTCTATCACAGTTAAAATTGAAAATAACCTAAGTTTAACATAACGTTTATTACAACTACTTATTACAACTACTTCTAAAATAATAAAAGACAGTAGAAATCAAAATAATAATAAGGTAAAACTTGAGGGAGGAATTTATTCTATCTATCCTTCGGAAATAACTGCCACAAGTAATATATAGGAGAAACCTCAAGGAATTTAAATAAAAGATTATATGAACACAAAAGGGATCTTTTACAAAATAAAACATTCAATCCATTAGTT